TATATGGTGTAAGGAAGAGTTCGAGAAGTTCCTTCCATAATGTGAGAAACTCTTTTCACAATCATGATATATTTATAGTCTATGAAACCTGAACCATGATGGAAAGGTAATTATCACCAGCCGAAATACGTACAGAAAAGTGGATTCAATTCTGTATACCTACAGACGAAAATGTGTTCGCTATCACTATAGTCTGGTTATGATATGACATATCAAGACTCATGAACAGTTAGATTTGCTGTCTTGAAATACATTCAATCCAAGACAAAAAGTCAAAATGGCTAATGCCCCAAGACAACGACCCTTGGAGTAACTTCCAAAGAGTAAAATATTGAAGGATGGAAACCTACGATTGGTGACGATAATTTGCAAACGCTACATGCGTATCTTATGGCTCTTATCCTTAAAATACTCAAAATTGTTGTGTTGATTACACACTTGAAACATCCCACTTGATCAATCTTGAAAAGATTGAATTCCATTGTTTGTATAAAACCATTGAAAACTTATCTTAACTCACGGTTTTTCATTAAATCAAAAAGATACTTTATGATACCGATTTTCGAAAACTATACTCCTTGAACTACGTGACTCAAATCTCTCTATGTGAACTACAAAATGATTGATGCGATTACGTTATATCTAAAAATTATTATCAATGATCTTAATAAACTCTGTTTTGACCCTAGCAAGGGAACATTATGCAACAACTAGAAGAAGAAATGATGTCACAAAGATCAAGTTGAATCATTCAAACGAAAATCCTGAACCTATATGCGATGTTGGTGTAAGAACTGGTACGATTCCTTACTCTATGAATTTGTGAATTGAATCACATATTGAAAATATTCTCTTTTTCCCTCGAAATGAGATTAACCATAGTGTTACAATCAAACCTGTCACTATGATGAACATATCTTGGTATATTTCCAAATCAATGAAAAAAGTTGAATACAACAAGACGTATATGAGATGCCACTCGAACGTCATCACATATGGATACGAATTGATACAAAGACTCATTAACGATAATGAGAGCTACCATGAAGTGAATGAAGAAATGTTTTGACGTAAGATCGAAGATGACGAGCTACTATATAATTAATCGAGAGTACTTCCTCATAAATGATGAAAAATCCCATATTCTAAAAATCATGAACTGATAAAAGTTATTTGATGTAATTTACGAGTCGTTTTTAAACTATATAAACTATGTGAAGATGTCTTGAGTGACTTAGGAAAAGTTACGCTACAACATTTGAATTGAAAACAAACTCCAAATCCACAACTATACCTACCGTGAACGTGATGATTCAAAACTATGAAGGCTATTGAAGAACTTTCAACCAAAGAAAGAATATTGTGGACCAATGACGCACAATCCAGATTTGTGAATGAACAAAGTTATGTGCAAATATGTCAAGTATGCTCCAAAATACGATGTTATACTCTGCAAAGAAACCTTAGTTATGGATGTTGACTCTAAAAAGGAACCTGCAAAAAGGATTGTTGGATACCTTGCTTAATCTAAGATTGTTAATCTCTTGAAGAAAGAATGAGTTTGATGATATTGCCAATTCGAGAATATGTGCCCATATGGATAACAACGTAATCATGATTTAATTGAATAAAAATGACGAGGTCATGAAGAACGTGAATACAACAAGATGTTGATCGTGGAGCTTTAGAAGAATTTCGAGGACGAAATTCCTTTAGGGGGGGGGGGGAGGAAATGTAACGCCCCAAAACATACCCTAGAATTAAAAATGAATAAGAATTCAATTAATCAAATTTGTTTTGATTAAAATAAACTGTTGTTGGGATTTTGTCCTTTAAATTCAATTAAGTAATAAAATCTTACTAATTTAATTTTAGAAGAAGTGTATTTAAAAATGTAAAAAGTAGAGATTTGAAACCCTAGGGCTTCAAACCTATTTCCAATGAAATTTTGATTTAAGTTAATGCTGATGTAGTAGAGAGAAAAGGTTTGAAGTCCTAGAGCTTCATACATATTACGAGTTTACGAGTGCTCTGACGATATGTCATAGTGGCACTGCTTTGGTAATGACATTTCTAGCAGCACTAAATCTCCTTTTACCTTTAGCTGCAGGTTCAATGTTGCCCATGTCTCATGTAGAATCTCTAACTCTTTAGTTTTTGGTTTGCATTTTGGATGTGTTTTTTTGTTTCTCTAATTTTCTCACTTACTAAACTTTGATGGGGCTTCTGACTAATCCTCCCCACTTGTTTTATTCTCTTTCTTCGTTGTAATATATTTATCTTTTATTTTAGAAAAGGTAGAGTTTGTTTAATTGGAATGTGACATAAGACATGTCACAGGTGCATTTTGTATTAGGTGTCATTATTTAATTTATTCATTTAACATATTTTATTTTAGCTTTAAATAATTAAAACAATTATCATTAAAGTTACATTCAATGAATATTAATTTTGTATATTTTTTAAATACTATACCAATGTGCATTTTAATTATAATTTTAAAACATATTTTTGTTATCTACATAATTATTTTATTATTTAGAAAAAGATTTCATAAACTTTATTAATCTATTTAAAACAAAGATGTATATAAATTTTTAAACCTATTCACAATTCTTCCTTTTTATTACTTTTCACAAATACATACTTGTATAAATTTTAATACATATACATTATTATTAAAACTAAACTTTTATTTAAAAAAGATACTCTGTAGATGAGTATTATATGTAGGATTAAAATTTAGAAATATTCATAAAACACATACTCGCTCCGTTCAAAATTAAATTGCATATTTATTATTTATAGAGTCAAACTTAATTAACTTTGTATCCCTATTTTCGTTACTCATTTGATAAAATAATATAGTCATGTCAATTCTTGTGAATGTTTTTTATTTAGTTTTTTAATATATAAATTTTATTTTTAAGTTGTCCTCCAATTCTCTAATAAATTCTATTGAAAATAAATTGAGTTAAACATTGTAAACCGAAACAGACTATTTAAATTGGAATAAATAGAGTAAATTTGTTGGGTTAAAAGTACTTCGACCTTGTTTTTATGGGTTGGAAAAATTAACATTCAACTTTTTCAAACTTCTTCCAGTTCCTTCTAAAGAAATAATCCTACATTCTAGTAAACATAATAAAAGTACCAAAATAAAGATGCATGTTTTTATCTTAGGAGAAAGACCAAATATGACTAAAACATTGAAAATATACCAAAATAGGATTTTCATGTTTTCCCCTGAAATAAGACTTAAAATGCATTTACATTATGTACATTATCAAAAAATATAATAATGTACATATATATAATATCACATTAGCACAGTGCAAATTTTCATTTCGAGGAAAAAAATGAAAGTCCTATTTTGGTATTTTTCTCTATATTTTAGTCTTATTTAGTGTGATTTCTACTTTATCTTCAAAATCGGAATTTGCATTGTGGTAATGTGGCACTATATATATACATTTCACAATTTTCTTGGTAATGTACGTATATGATCATGATTGACATTATAAATATATTTTAATTCTTATTTCGGAAATTAAAAACTTGGAACTCCTATTTTAGTATATTTTCAATTTTTTAGTCCAACTTTAATCTTTTTTTCCTTTTTTAACTCTTTCCATTTTTTCAAACTTCTTCTAGTTTATTTCAATGACAAAACATGCATTTCTATATGATGAATATACATTAACATTATATATTCAAATTTATAACTTGCAATCTCAAACACGGACAATAATGAATTTTTGGATAATTATTTATTTGAAAGACTGTTAAACACCTTAATTTTTGAGTAAATTTCCAAAATGGTCCTTTGTAATAAGGTGTTTTTCCAATTCAGTTCTCAATAAGTTTTCATTACCTATATGGTGCTCTATAATTGAGATTTATTCCCAAGATAGTCCTTCGTAAATATTGTTATTCAAATGATGATTAATTGGGAGATATTTTGGTATTTTGATCATCCAAATCTAAAGTATATTCTCGAAACAGTTTTTTCTGTATAACTAAATGTAAAATTGAAAAAATATATTGATTATGAATAATTCATTAATTATTTAAAACTTATAAAAAATATTTTAAATTTCAAATCAAATACACATCTTTAATTAGAAACAACCATTTTGGGAAAACACTTCTTTATAAATGATCATTTTAAGAATTAATTCTAAATTTAGCGGATAAAAAATATCAAAATACTCTCAATTAATCCTCATTTAAGTAACATTATTTACGAAGGATCATCTTGAAAATAAATCTCAATTATAGACCACGTATATAATTAAAATTTATTGAGAACTAATTTAGAAATACACATTATTACAAAGGACTTTTTAAGAATTTACTCTTAATTTTTCAAATATTTTCCAATTCTTTATTTTCTTTTTTAACTCTTTCTAATTTTTTTCAATCTATCTATATCTATATCTATATCTATCTATATATATATATATATATGTAAAAGAGAGTTTAGTTGTTGCAATGTTGACATGTGGCATGCCACATGTGCATCCACATGTGCACCCATNTTTTTATACTATCCACAACTTATTTTAGTTTATTACTTCTCGAAAAATGATTGTATAAATTTAAAGGGTGACAACTGACAAATGACATTATGACACATATATATTCTCTAATGATGTATCATTATGCATGTAACTGATCCACTTTTTATTATAATATTTTATTGATTCAAACCATTTCTATTTAGTACTTAATTCAATGATTATTAATTTTGTAAAATTGTTTTTTTAAATTAACATACCAATATACTCTGTATGTTCCATCAGTCTAAAACATTTTTTATCACTATTAGAAACTAAAACAACTAAAATTATATTTATAAAATCTCAAAAGTTTAGAATATATACGAGCCCGTGCGAAGCAAGTAAACACTAGTATTTTCTTAAATTCTATCTCAAAGAATAAGGAAATAATTGAGGACTGTCGTCCTTATACATCAGTAATTTTATGTGGCGGTGAAATCTTCTTCTGTGCTCATGCATTTTGTCTCGCGAATCTAGCTGCTCTCACCCACCACTACCGTATTCAATTTCTCCGCAACCGGCGGCTTGCGAGGATGCTATCTCTGACGTCCGAGGACCTGAACTATCTAATTTTCCGATACCTTCATGAATCCGGTACCTCTCCGTCTCTGTAATTTAGCTTTTTAGGGTTCTAGTTCGCATTTACAGGAATTAAGAAAAGCTTCATCTCATGGATAGCTCAAGTCATGGATTGGCTGAATATGGCTGATGTCTCCGACTTGAATCCCCACCTAAGGGATCATATTAAAGCTTGTTGTACCTAGAGTACGTTGGGATAGATTAATTTCCTTGCGTGTTAGTCGGGAGGCGTTTCGAAAGAAACAAAATCCTGTTAACCTAAAAAAGTACCATTATTTCTGCTTTAGATAATTAGGGTTTCTTCTCGAAGCATTCATTCTGCCTTTTGGAGCTTCTTGTTTGGTCTTCATAGTCTTGGTCCAAAGTTTAAACATAACCAGTATTCCCCTTTGCACATAGTTTAGTTTTTTTAGCATTGATTTTTCTTTTAGTGGAACTGAAACAATGGTGGAATTCATGTGTTGGTTTTAGTGGCTCTAACTTGAGGAATAGGAACCATAGATTTCAGGTTTTGGGATGAAAATATGTTCTGAGTAGGATTTGAAGATAAACTGATGCAATTTTGATGAAATGAAATCTAGCTACCTCGCCTGTGTTCAAAGAAATAGATTGAATTCTCAAATATATCTGCATTGCATATTGTATAATTGATGCCTTATGTATAGGATTAGAGAAGGGTGAGATTTAGCCCTGGCTTATGGTGCATTTTGCTAACACAGAAGAGGAACCACATTTGTTAGAAAATATCAACTTCCTTAAAACATGGAAATAGATATTAGGATCCATTATAGATTTTCCATGGAGAGGCATACTTATGTGTCTCGCTCATATTGACATTCTTAAACTTGTAATTGATCAGCTATGTTGTTCTTTTTTCTTCCACAAGCTAATTTACTTGCAGATTCTGTATTTAAAGCTTCCATACTTGTATTAGCACCCCAAAGCAATGAAGTAGGAGCACTTCTACTGGTTAATTATTAACTACCAGGCCATGTTGTTCGTTATTTATTTTATTTTATGTTTTCAAATTAGACATATTACACAGTACTAACAGAACATGTACCAAATGTGCTTTGGTTGTAATGAGTCCTTAAACTGTTGTATTATGATACACGCCTTTTGTCTCACAAGATGGAACAAATAGCTAATTGCGTCCCTTTCGCATGCTAATATCAGTAATATGATAATCTAAAATCCACTTTCATGTTTGACCATCAATTTGTGGTAGCTTCCCTTCTTTTGCAAGAGCTCATCAAGTGATCAAGATCACATAATAGCTTTTTCTCTGCAAGTTCCTTGAATCTAATTAATAATCTTTGGTTCTTCATTGTTTATACTCTCACCCTACATTTCATTTCTTGGTGTGCTAATTGTTCTTCAAAAAATATGTTTTCAGGTTTTACACATACTGCTTTTGCCCTAGGGTATGAGGCAGGTATACATAAAAGTACCATAGATGGAAATTTGGTGCCTCCTGGTGCTCTTGTTAAATTTGTTCAAAAAGGAATTCAGTACCTCGAACTGGAAGCAAATTTGAGCAATGTATGTGTTGCCTTTTCCTTGTTAATAATAAACTCTTTTTGGTCCCTATGGAAAGTCTTTAATGGCTGTAAATTGCTTAAGTATCCAGGATGATGCTGACCTGGATGAAGATTTTCAGCTTCTGCAACCTCTAGACCTGATAACCAAGGATGTAAGTGAACTTCAAAAGATCATTAAAGAGAAAAAGGAAGTTCTCCATAAGGGTAAATCCCGGGGAAAGGACAAAGGTCATAGTGAATATGAGTATCATGAGCGCGAACCTGCGAGAGAAAGGGAAAAGGAAAGGAAGCAAAGAGATAAAGATCGAGAACATGATAGGGACAAGATAGAGAAGGAAAAGGAGAAAGAAAAGGGCAAAGACAGAGTAAAACCTCATGAGGATCTTGTAGAAGCCAAACAAATAAGTGATAAAAGTAATCTCCGGCATGAAGAAAATGAAACGAATGAAACGGCTAGAGGTAACATATGCATTCTGTCTCCCTATGCACACACTTGATTCGAAATATTTTGGATCATTCACAATAATCATGTTTTCAAGATTAAATTGTTCCTGCAACTATCTTTTACTCTGTATATGATTTCCTTTACTTTGGTAACATGCAAACTAGAGCCTGAACCCATGGAGATTTGCACAAGCTTGACAGCCTTATCGTGTGAGATCGCAAGTTCTGATGTAATGGTTTTAGAAGGGCACACATCTGAGGTTTAACTGCATATCATGGTGAAATTTTATTGGTATGTAGTTTTTAGCTCCTCAGATTGATAACTTTTTTCTTCATCTTTGTGGCAGGTTTTTGCATGCGCTTGGAGTCCAACATGTTCGCTTCTTGCGTCTGGGTGGGCACATGTCCTTGATCATTACCTTAGTGAACATGATATGATTACCTAGACATAGTAAGAAATAAATGTAAAACCACATCATCATAAAGCATAAATGACTACTATTCCAGAAAAAATAAGGTATGATGAATTTGACCTGGAGGGGTAGGTTAATAAGACCATTGATTAACTCTACCGGAGATCTATTTTCTATGCCAAGTGTTGTCACCTTTCTGGGCTCACAACAGTATCATGTTACTGTAATACTCTGTAATATGCTGTGTTGAACGTACATATAACAATGGGGGTTTTATTCTTCCCTTTATTATTTTCCACCAAACTCGAGCTAGGTTTGTCGATGCACACAGGTCTTTGACTCATGTCATTGTGTGAAATTAATCTCTCCGTTTTGTTTTAATTAATTTTGTCCTGTATGTCTATTGACATATAATTTGAAACATTGGTGCCATTATCATTGCTTATGTAGTTGTGTCATGCCATGAAATGGTGATGAGGAAATGACCACATATGAATTTTTTATTTAGGTAAAATTAAATGAATAAAGAATAAAATGAGAATTTCAAAGAGTATAAGAAGGAAACCGAAAACTGGTGAATGACCAAGTCAAGTTTGAGGTAATTCCTTTTGCTTTTTGTGACAATGTTAAACATAGCAATTGAATCTCTTATGCTCCACCGCTCCTGCAATGCGTTTTCCTATTCGTTTAAGAGTCATGCATCAACTAGAAACATTTGACTAGAGAATGTAACCTCGGAAATGGTAATGACATGAAGTAGTGCTTTGACAAAGTAGAAGGTCGACAAGGTTGAGAGAGCTGCTAGTGAACTTGACACTTTGTCCATTACTTTATATGATGTCTATCTAGTGATGGAACCCGGGTGACAATAAATAGGGAAGGTTTTATGCTTCCTTGACTTTTAAGGTTTTATGTATGGTTTAAGGTTTTAATGACTAGTAACCATTTTTTTGCATCTGCCTCACTGCCATTTGATTGAGACATCCTCTCATGGGCCCATTGCCCTCGGGTGGATTTTCTGCATTTGTTTTTAACTTTTAGTGTTTTCTTTATTCTATATTTAATATTTCATTTGTATTTGTTATCTATTTTATGAAGGTCTCGGTGTAGCAGTTGTTGTGTCAACATATTATGACATGGTAGAAACCATGTAACAAGATAACGGTTATTCTAGCATTGTTAATTAATTATATCTAGTCTAGCATCATTAATTACTTATATACTCTTAAGAGGGGCCAAATGGGCCAGAATTCAAAAAGAGGAACATAATCTTATGGAATTCTGTTGTAGAAACCTAAGTTCTATGACGATATAGGTAGGTATGAACTACAAACTTAGAGTTTGGGAATTGTTATAGCTTCAGGAGCTAACCAAGGAATATGGCCTTACATAGAGTGCTTGGAGGTCTATGGTTAGGATTGTAGGGTAGGCTTTTGGGTAATAATCTACCCTTGTGTAGATCTAACGGCCTTCGTTTGTTGTAGCTACGTGTTCTCTTGTTCTTATAGGTTCCTCTCCTTTGTCTTTCCTTTTTTTCTATACCTGTTTTGTTGTGTTCCTTTGTTTTGAGCCAGGGTGTCTTAGAAGCATCACTCTACTTTCTTTTCACATAGGGCTAAGGTCTATGCACTCTCACCCTCCCCAAACCACACTTTCTGAGATTTTATTGGGGTTGTTGTTGTTGTTGTTGTTGTTTACTTGGAGTTTGGGAGTTCGCCAAATACCTTCTGTCTTCTTTAGTGATTTAGGTTATTTTTGCATTTTCCGTTTTGATTTCTTATATTTTAAAGGATTGCTTTCCTTTTGTAATAATCACGTTGCGGAGGACAGACAGGACCATGTAAGAAACTATTGTATTCCCTGCTCTTCTTTCAAGCTAATCTTAAACCTATAATAGGTCTGGAGATTCGACAGCTCGAATTTGGACGATTGTAGATGGACCTTGCAGTTCTCGGATGCAGAGTGAACCAAATGCAGTTGTTCTTAAGCATTTCAAGGGTCGAACAAATGAGAAAAGCAAGGATGTTACAACACTGGATTGGAATGTGAGGCTAACATTCTTTTCTTATGCTTCTTCTCTTTACCGACTCACTGATTCACCTTGTGCTGCATGTATTTTCTATATTATATAACAGAACTCTGAATTTTTTGTGGCCTGTCTTTGATGTAGGGTGATGGTACATTACTAGCTACTGGCTCCTATGATGGTCAGGCAAGAATATGGAGTAAAAATGGTACCATTTCTCTGTTCAAACGTCTTATAATTTGGATAGTGTATACTGATTCAATAAAGAGAACTCTTATTAGTGAAATGCACAGAAAAAATGCGGTGTTAGTCTCTTGACAAAACATCTATTGCCAATGGAGCTAAAGGAGTCATGATTGACAATGTTTTAACTTTTGGTAAATAATGAACTAAAGCTAAATGGCACATCGAACTTCCTTTTTCTTTTTATTTTCTATGAAGTTTTGGATATTTAATGTAACAATGCATCAAGGGTTTAACGAAAACAACTTATTTCTTTTTTACAGGAGTAATACTGGATTGTTGTCTTTATTGTTTTAAATAGTGTTATAATCCGAACGTAGGGAGATACTAGTTCCAATTTTGTAGAGGCATCACTTCATTGCATGCTAAATATCATTGTGACAGAGAATGGTTTTACATTAAAATGGAAAATTAAACTTTCCTTGCTTCTTACTTTCTATGAAGTTTTGGGCAGTAATTGCATCAATGAATCTAGGGTCTTATGGAAACGACCTCTCTGTTTAATACAGAGGTAAGACTTATATCTTGAACCCTAGACCCCAACAGTGTTGGGATAATAATGGGTTGTTGTTGTGTTTGTGAATTCCTTTACTTGCTTCAATATAATAATTTTTTCTTTAGGCTAAGTTAATTGGAACTACCTTTATTTGAATTGATTTTAATGTTTAGCTGAGTTAGGACAAACTATTTTCTATCGAAAGCCTTCTCTTCGTTTTTTGTGTCATTTTTGTTTGTTCCGATTTGGTTTTCTTTTTGTCCTCCCTTTTGTTACCAAAAGGGCTCATCCATAAGCAATTTGCTTTTGGCCCATTGTCAAATTCTTTACAATTTGATACTGGTATAATAATTATAAATCTCTCTTTGTACAGGGGAATTGATGAGTACATTGAATAAGCATAAAGGGCCAATTTTCTCTTTGAAATGGAACAAAAAGGGTGACTATCTTCTAAGTGGCAGTGTGGATAGAACTGCTATTGTGTGGGACATTAAGGCCGGGGAATGGAAGCAACAATTTGAATTCCACTCAGGTTGTCGTTTTATTTAAATTTTTGTGATTCTCCTTTATCTTTCTCTTAGTTTTAACATGTCTGGCATTATACATATCTAAAATGTATAAACAACATAATTTCTACTGCAGCCCCCACACTGGACGTTGATTGGCGAAACAATACTACATTTGCAACTTGCTCCACTGACAATATGATATATGTCTGCAAAGTTGGGGATAGCAGACCCTTTAAAACTTTCTCAGGGCATCAGGTTCGTATTGACAGTCTCTCATCCCCCCACTGAACACTGTATTTGATCAACATGCTTACTTTGTGCATCTTTTTTATCTTTATTAAAGGGTGAAGTTAATGCTATCAAGTGGGACCCCTCTGGCTCCCTTTTGGCTTCGTGTTCCGATGATTCCACTGCCAAGGTTTTCTATTCCATTATCTGATTCATTTATGTGGATTTTTGCATTGCCTACAAGCTCTGGAATAATGTGAGCATGTAAAAAATGTTTTGATGCAGATATGGAGCTCGAAGCAGGATTCATGTGTGCATGATTTAAGGGAGCATGCTAAGGTATCACATGCCACTTGCATTATTTATGGTTTGCTTGGTTCACAGTGAACCTATGTTCTTGTCGGGCCTTACCTCATTTGGCAACAATTTTGATGACAGAACCCAAGTTTTCCGGGAGTTTTGTTTCACCTAGAATAACCTATGTAAGCTCGATTTTGGAAAACCTCTGAATTTGGGGGGTTCAGTGGTTGAGTTCTATATTTTGGTCCATCAGATTTTGCACCTCCTTTATTATTCCTGCATCAAAAGTCATCCTCAACCTTCAATGGCCGGTTCTCCAGGCACAGGAGGACCTCTCTCTGCCCTCCCTTCACGACTCCACCATTTTACCATTTTATCTCTCAACTCACTCACTTCTCTATCATTCACTCCCTAGAACTCCCCTCATTCTTTTGCTATCCCATCACCTCTCTTCCTCCTCACAAGTCACAATACAGTTCCACGACCAATTCATTCGCACACTACTCAAGGCTTTCTTATAACAGATTTCCACTATATCTTTTGACCCCAAAAGCCTTGAAGCCTTCAATATCATCAATATTTGTATCTTTTTTTCTTGTTTCATTACAAGTCTTTCAGCCTGAACTTCTCCATTCCTTTCTCTGAGAAATGGCTTGTGGTGTGACTTGAGGTGTTCAAATGCTATGGTGGATTATAAGAATAGGAAAAGGGTGAGGAGAGCTCTTACGTGTTATCCATGGGTATAAATGTTTTTAATGAGTTGGACTTAGATTAACGTAATAATCATCCTGACATTTTTGTACGTTCACCTAGTATCACCCAGTTTTTAACAGACCTAGATTTACTCAGTTTAATTAAGTTCACCCTAACCAACAGAGGCTTAGTTTCATTCAGAGTAACAATGCATTCCTCTTCTTTTTTTTTACTGGTATAGATTCAAGTTGTGGAGTAAGCTAATTTTTTTTTCTTTTTCCAGGAGATATACACAATTAGATGGAGTCCAACAGGCCCAGGCACAAGCAATCCAAATAAGCAGTTGATGCTGGCAAGGTAATTACATTTCTATAGTGATTCAACTCTCTGTGTGTGTGAATAGTGAGGTTATGAAAAAATAACTAAGCCTCTACTGCTTAGATGTTAGTAATCTCAAAAGTGTAAAATAGTTTTGCTTATTATTTTCAGTGAATTAGATTGCCCATATCTTTTACACTATTATTGGAACCTGGAAAATGGTAGGGAATTTTTTAAAAAAACTGTGTTTTATATTTTTTAAATATATGGTATAATCTCGGTAGAAACCCTTAATCTTGATAAAATTATCCATAGTTATCTGAAATCCTGTTCACTCATGATATTTGTCATGTTTATTTTGTATAGTGCCTCTTTTGACTCAACAATAAAGCTATGGGATGTTGAATTTGGGCGGGCTGTCCACAGCTTGATTGGCCACAGGTATGAGAGTAATATTCAGCATAGTTTTAAAAACTGGACCGGACCGGCCGGTTCGGACCGGGAACCGGCGAACCGGATGCCTAACCGGTCCGGTCCAGCCCTTCAGACCGCCATTGACAATGAACCGCCGGGAACCGGATAAAACCGGCAAAACCCGGACGGTTAAACCGGGAACCATTTCTTTTGTTTTTTTTAAAGCATTCAAAACTCACGGCGGAAGGATTCGAACCCTTGATGTTCCGAACTACCACCACCCTGTCACCCGTTGGGCTATGATGCAACTTGCGAATGTTTTGAACATTTAGCAATTTGTATCAAATTTTTGTTAAGCATAAAATTATTTTTCAAATAACTTTGAATAATATATATTATATTTAGGTTTTGAGCTAAGATTCAAAATCTAAACCATGGATATAATAGATATTAATAGGAAGTACATATGACACAAATATTTTATTTATATACTACCTCCGTCCCGCTATATTCGTCCACTTTTGACTTTTGAAACTGTTCATCTAAACACTTTGACTCATCAAATTCTCTCAATGTGTAAGCTTAAATATAGTCATGTGTGATCTTGTTTGATTTTTCTTAACATATAGATTATTAATATATAATTTTTATAATTTTTTAATATACAAATTACAAGATAAAATGAATTAAAGAAGTGCATTGGATGGTGTGTAAAAATGAAAGTGGACAAATATAGTGGGATGAATGGAGTATATTTTAAATATTGGATAAATTACTTAAAAAATCATATCAACTCTTATTTTATAAAACTTTAAAAAACATAATTTTTATTTTTTAATTTAATGCCACAACTTAATTAAATTAAATTGATTGTAAATTTAGTCAAATATCGTAATTATTTATTTCAAAATAGAGAAAATATTATTTAGTTTACTCATATATGACTTATATATATATATATATACATACATATATATATATATATATATATATATATATATATATATATGTTTGAACCACTGGTTTGACCAGTGAACCAGTACCTTGACCGGTTCGATCACCGGTTTGGTTCTGAAAACTATGATATTCAGTGTTAAATATGGGAATATTAAGTTTGTAAAGATCATCGAATTTTTCTGTGATATCTCGGTCCAGGGAACCAGTTTATTCCGTGGCATTCAGCCCGAATGGCGAGTACCTGGCCAGTGGGTCTTTAGACAAATGCCTGATTATATGGTCGGTGAAGGAAGCAAAAATCGTGAAGACCTACAGTGGCAATGGGGGAATTTTCGAAGTCTGTTGGGACAAGGATGGAAACAAGGTTGCAGCTTGTTTCTCAGACAATGTTGTTTGTGTCTTGGATTTCCGCATGTTATAGAACCCCCCTATTCTATTCCCCATTTTCCCCTACTTGAAATTGAGTTGGTTCTGAACTCCAAAGATATTTGCTAATGAGGTGAGTACATAAAAGCCTGAAACGTTTGTTCCCCAATGATTTATGTGCGAAGAAGTTGCCGAGTAAATTTTTGTAGCGTTGATTTTTCATATCACTCATGGTCTGTTTCTTGTTATCTTAAACTTTTAAGAGTAAAAATATTTAAAATATCTTTAAAATAAGTCACTCTTGTCCAGCTTATCTTTTCATTTATCATCACCCTTCCTAAAAAGTAATGTTAATTTTGAAAATTCAATTTTATTTTTTCTCTTCCTTAAATATGTCGCAAAATTAAAACGGGCGATTTAAAACAGAACAAAGAAAGTAATTTTTAAAAGTGTAAGTGTTAAAGGAGATAATGAAAAAATATCTAAAAATGTAGTTGTTATTTAAATATTAAAAAATGAGTAATACATGAACAACTACATTTAATATCCGGACGGTTCAGAAAAAGCAATAATGTTAAGAACTGTAAAGAAACCTTCGAAAAAACTTATATATTGCTTACCTAAAAAATTACTTTAACATAAAAAAGAGTTTATAACTTATTCCTTGGAACTAGGGCTTCCATATGTGGTTGCATTCATGTAATGTTCAGAATTAATGTCATGCCCTGACTCTTGAGCTCGACGTCTTGCCAAGAGCCAATCTCGGGTGCAAACAAGTGTCTCAAACGATTCAGCGCTAGGAAAACTTCAGTAGTCGGTTAGAATGCTACTGTTAGAACTGAATTCTTGTTCCACAGCTACAGTTGATACCGAGACGGATAAAACTTGTCTGGCTAGCATTCCGAGACATGGGAACATTTGTTCGTTCCGCTTCTATCATTCGAGGATGTCAAAGTCCACGTCGTCGTCATCGTAATTGCATGGCACCCCTTGGTACATAGCAAGTTCGTTGTGCGATCTTATAGTTATACCACCTGAACTTGTCGAAGCGTGACCACGCTTACCTTTTTTGCCAAAACCCCACCGACTATCCCTTTAAAACCTTTTTTTGCTTCGAGAGGCGGAGGAGGTGATGTTACTTCCGGTACATTATCATAAATTCCTTGAAATTCTTCAAATAAAGCCTCGAAAAGATCAATAACATTATCTCTTTCTTTTGTCCATTCTATTAAATGATTGTAGTAATAATTATTTTCATCCAAAAAACAAGTGTAATAATACTTAATCAGAATTTAAATTTTCAATCTTAAAGTGAGGATCACAAATAATACTAGTACTAATTTTATAAATAGCAGAAATATACAAATAATAAGCACACCATTTATCCCTCATAGAGAAACATAAGGGTACAAGTCTAGATTAGATAATCTTTCACGAAAACATGTTGCAATTGTAACACACTCTTTTAAAAAAACTGTTTGTAGTAGGTTGGTAAACATTCGAGAAAGTAAGAGTTGCATTATTAAAAACTTCTAATACAGCATTCAATTTTTCAACAGTAATAAATTCATTCAATTGAATTATATAATGAAGTTCATTCCTAAGAAATGCAACAAGTTCGTCTTTGTAGCTTAGAATCTGTGCAATCAACTTATATGTACTATTCCATCTAATGGTGATATCTTTAGCAAAAGTTATTGGTCTTCTATCCCTAGATTTACAGTATAACTTCCATGCTCTCGTATTAACATGACTACCCCAAGTTTTTTATTCCATTTCTAATATTGTTCAAAACTCCCCCCATAGCTTCTAATCCCTGTTGAACACATAAATTTAAAACATGACATGCACACTTTTGATGTAGAAATCTACCCATGCTCGTAGTAGGGGACAAAAAATTTTAAGTCTAGGAATAGAAGTAGTATTATTAGGGTAAATTTCACCAATGGTACCTGAACTTTAACTCGAATTTCGAAGTGGTACCTGAACTTCAAATCCTTTCACAAAAATCCCTGAACTTACACAATCCTTTCACTAATGAGCCATTAGCCCGTTTCTAGGTTAACTTCCGGTCATTAGGGCCAAATTCGAATTTTATATATTTTAAAATTTTCAATTTGACCCCATTTCTTCTTTTCTTTTCTTCCAGGCCCCGCCGCCGCCGCCCGCCGGTCAAAGTCACCGGAAAATGAACTTTTTCCGATTCCGACGAGACCAATGTCATTCTCTTCGTCTTGAGACGAGGATCAATAATATCCAAACCATTTTGTCTAATTTTGCCTGTAACTTCTCGAATCTGAATTTTTCTACTCGAAAAAACCCTAAAATCAAAATTGGATCCAAAATGGGGGGTTTTGCAAATCGTCATCAAATCTTGCAATTGAGGGGTCCTTGGAGGTCGCACGGATGCCACGACCACAACTCCGGCGAAATTGACGGCAGGCACCAACTCCAATGCGGTCGTGGCATCCGTGCGACCTCCAAGGACCCCTCAATTGCAAGATTTGATAACGATTTGCAAAACCCCCCATTTTGGATCCAATTTCGATTTTAGGGTTTTTTCGAGTAGAAAAATTCAGATTCGAGAAGTTACAGGCAAAATTAGACAAAATGGTTTGGATATTATTGATCCTCGTCTCAAGACGAAGAGAATGACATTGGTCTCGCCGGAATCCGAAAATGTTCATTTTCCGGCGACTTTGACCGGCGGGCGACGGCGGCGGGGCCTGGAAGAAAAGAAAAGAAGAAATGGGGTCAAATTGAAAATTTTAAAATATATAAAATTCGAATTTGGCCCTAATGACCGGAAGTTAACCTAGAAACGGGCTAATGGCTCATTAGTGAAAGGATTGTGTAAGTTCAGGGATTTTTGTGAAAGGATTTGAAGTTCAGGCACCACTTCGAAATTCCAGCTAAAGTTCAGGTACCATTGGTAAAATTTACCCAGTATTATTAGTATCATTATCAAAACTAAATGCAAATACTTTATCAACTAAATTGTACTCTCGGAGAATACGCTCAAGCAATAGAAAAATATTTTTAGCCTCTCAGGAAGGGTGGAGAATACTCTTGGGGAAGGGTGGAACATGCTCTTCTTCCGGTATCTCCAAGAGGCCATAGGCCTCACAGTTGAAGGACGGATCACGCTCGATCAGGACTTTGTGGGTGGCGGCTCTCTCTTTCATTTGGCCCATTTGAAACCCTTAAGAGCCCACGTCTTCAATCATTGTCCTCCCCTCCGGAACCTGGAAAAGGACTTTACAAAAGCCTATGGCACACTCACGAGAGGGGATCAGGTCCTCCAGGTACTCCCTGGCCCATTTCGCCGTTTCCGCTGGGAAAGAGGCCTCCTTTAGCTCATGTTCCTCCTTCAACCTAGCAAGGGCAACCTTCCCCCCACCCCCCCGTTCCTTCTCTTTCTCCCCGGTAGGGGTGTGCATTATTCGATCCGGACCCAGACCGACCCAAAACCCAGCCAAAACCGGATCGGACCGGACCGTTCCTTATTCGGTCCGGTCTCCGGTCCTCATTTTTTCATTATTCGGATTCCGGTCCACCGGGTTTCTGTCCGGACCGGTGGACCGGTTAGATTTTATTTTTTTTTTAAATACTTTTTTCTATATAAGTTTATAATATTGTATTTTTAAGGTTTTTTCTTATACTTAAAATTAGTTTAACTTTAATGCTAAATTTTTTTAAAATGTTTTGATTTTATTATCTAATATAATTTTTTAAATACATTTCAATTCAAAATAAGATACCAATTGTAATGATTTTTAAATATTTTTAATATGAAAAGTGTGAAAAAGTAAACATTACCTTTAAATTAGCGATCTAATGCATTTCAAATTTATGTATCAATACTATAACTTAAATTTGTACTTTATCAATAATAAAACTCTAATCCGCAAAATAAACATTGTAAACATTCTCATGAACAAAAATAGTAAAAAATGTATCTGTTTGTCAAAATAAATCGAAAACTCAAAAAAATATTACAAAAAAAACAAAAATGCACTAAGAAGAAGAATATTCCCTATGCAAAATAAAAATTATGAACAGATTTTATGTAATACGGATGGAATATATATATTTTATTTAAATTTTTAAAAAAAACTCAAAACAATTGTGTTTGATAATGTTTAGTGTATGTTACAATTAAAAATTAGTTTTAGTAATATTTTTATTCAATTGAATACTTTAAATTAAAAAAATAAAATAAAATTAAAAAAAAAAATTAAAAGTAACATTTATTCGATCCGGTCCCGGTCCGGTCCTTAGCTTAATCGGCCCGGTCCTCGGTCCACCAAATGCCCCTTATTCGGTCCCGATCCGGTCCCGGTCCGGTCCGGTCCGTGTTTGACCCGATGAACACCCCTACTCCCTGGCCTGACGGGATAAGTTGGACATTTCTTGCTTTTGGTTAGCAAGGAAAATAGCCAATTCATTCTTCTCCACTCTCTCCTTGCGGTTCTCGTCCTTCGCCACATTTAGTGTAACACCCTAATCCGTCCAGGTCTGCAGCCCTTTTTGAACTAAAGTATAAACTTGGTATTCATAAACATTGAAAACATTTCAAACATTTTAAAATTTTATTTCATAATAAATTATTCAAAATAATAACGGAGTAATTTAATGTTGCGGAAGCTGAATAAATAACAATTACAAAACATAATAATACTATGTCTTTTTAAACTTTAATTCATTTCACACATCCACCTTGACCATTTCGCCCCGTCTGCCGCCAGGATTCCATCACATCATTCTTTTTATTTACCTGCGTGTAGCAAATAAAGCATACTACACGCTCTGCGTTGAAGGTGAGTAAGCATATCTAATGCGTCGAACATCAATATAAATTGAATTTCAATTCATAATCAACCCTTTGATATCATGCACGCAATACATATTTCAAGCATTCATTATTCATGATATTCACAATATTTTATTGCAAGTCATTTCATGATATATACAATATTCAATATTTCAAAAATGCTCTTAAATTATTCTTAATCTAAGGCCAAATCATTTTTATACAAGCTCTTAGTTATTCCTAGTCTAAGACAATATTTCTAACCAGACTCTTAAACTATAAATTGTCTAAGGCAGAACACAAGAATTGATAATCCACCCTATGAGTCATGTGGATTACGTACTAATCGAATCGTGATTTATCAAGTGGGTGATATCCGTTCTAGATCCCGTACGTATGTTTTAACTCAAAATATGAATTGGTCAATGAGGTGTATCTTAGAGTTCTTCTAGATATCCTTAATAATCATCATCAATATACAAGTGGGTATATCTTAGAGTTTTTCTAGATATCCTTAATAATTATCATCAATATACAAGTAATTCTATCTTAGAATTCTTCTAAATATCCTTTAATAATATACATTATTTTTATAATCATCAATATATTGTTTAATCAAATATTCATAATTGTAATTTTAATAAGACTAGTCATTAAGTTAATCGTTATCATAATCATCAATCAATAATAATCATCATAATATTCAATAACAAATAGCTGCCTAGCGTCGAGTGTTAACACAAGGCCTACCGTCATACATCACATAAAATTTTATTTGTCAAAACATCATTTTTATTTCATCACATAAAATTTTTATTTGTCAAAATATCCTTTTTATTTTTAGCAATTGTTTTTACATTATTCATAATGGATTGGTATCAAAAATAAGATTTTATAGCTTCAAAAATAGCATTTTCGGACTTAAAAATGTTTGTAACGGTCGACCGTTGGGTCCGAACGGTCGTCCGTTCCGTTGGAAAATGCAGGAAGATGATGTGTTTCTATTCATCATCTTCAACCTCTAACCCATTTTTCTCAAATTCCATTTTTGGTCACCAAACTTCAATTTAACAATAGAGAGTTGTTCTCCAAGGTTCGCAGATCATTTTAGAGGCATCAATTTGAAGTTTTAACAAAAAATTCAAGGTTTATGATTCTTGGTTCTTAAAATATGTCAAACACAAAACTCAACCAAACGACCATTTATGAACGTAGAAACGATCTATACGAACATTCTAATCACTAGATATATCTATGGGTTTACTTTGAAGTGAAACGATGATTCTGGCGGAACAGCGAACACCACAGCTTGCTCCGGCAACAGGAAGCTTTCCGGACAGCTTCTCTCAATTCTCTGAACTCTGCTCTAACTAATGTGATGATTTTGGTGTGGTATTGATGAAGAATGAATGCCTCTATATATAGGCCTGTGAAGGAGTTGTGTAGCTCTGCGATTTCCATCGATTAAGGTGAGTGGAGGGGGCAGCTAATTTAATTGGTTCCAGTTTAGGTTGATTAAATTACCTCAATCGGGGTGCGATTAGATAGTCAAAACTCTATTATAATTTTTATATTTATTTGAAATACTTTTTTCGACAACATATTTTTAGGTGTTGGCTTCGACAAAGTCAAAACTGAGTTAATTGATATGTAATTAAAATTAGTCTAATATTCAATCAAAATCATTAAATTTAAATATTCATTTCAATAAATCATTTTACAAAAGTTCACATCTTTGACCACTTCTCATTTTTATACAAATTACATATTTAAAATGTCATTACTAAAAATCTGTATATCAGATTTATTCATAAAATATACCGTTGGATTTGTCTCTTCGAGACTTATCCATAAAAGTCAATCTTAAAAAAATCATTGATTCTAAAAATTCATTCGTTTTTGGTCAAACATAGAAATAATATTTTTGTTGGGTCAACATATTGTTTCTAAAATAGTTTTATTATAGAATAACTTTTAAACCATGTTTTGGGGCGTTACATTTAGCCTTGCCTCCAGCCGGGTGACGAAAGCAGACTGATCCTCTAGAAGCAATCACCATCTCCTGGACAATCGTGCCAGCCTTTAGAATAAACGATTGTTCAAAAAAAAAGTAACCCAGAAGAAAAATGAAGATGAAAAGAAAATATTATTCGGGGATCCCTCCAGACCTTTTTGGAGGAGGAGCCATGAAGGGAATTAGAGGACCTCTTCTCACCCTGATGCTCTTTCATTTTCTTCTCCTTCTCCCATCCCAGGGATTTTTCCAGCCTCTCCTGCGAGGGCTGCCTCTCCTCCTCAAAGAGGATCTCAACAGCCTCCTCCTGAATGGGGATCAACCAGGAGGTAGCTACCATGATCTCCAGATGAAGAACTGTGGAGGCTGGTTGGGAGGAGCTGAACCCAGCCTGGGCGGTGAACTTCTTGGTGGGCTTGCAAAAGCTACGAAAATTCATATCTGTAAAGAGATAATACCTGGTTAGATCCCTCTGGATGGATAAAAAAGTTTAATGTAAATAAAACACAAAGGACAAACCTGGGAGGGAACAAGCACCCGACCTCCGCTTCATTGCTTGGGGTTGGTACCCCGTTTCTTTCTGCATCATAGGCTGATGAGGTACCATTCGCACCCCGGTCTATCCACTGGGCGAGCTCTCAAAATGGAATTTCCCACCAGTGTCCGGATCGCCCTCAAGAAGCTTCTCCAACGCCTCCTCAAGGTTAGGAGAACTCACAGGCAAGGCGAATTCATCTCAGAGTAGATGATCGTCCAATCGCCGGCTGGCAAAGGGGAATTCATCAATCGAGAAGTCAACAAAAATGAAGGTAGTTTTCCATATTTTTCTTGATGGAATGTCCAAGATAAAAGTTCAACCAGGTTGAGTGCGTAACTGTCAGGGAGAAATTGCCTTACTTTGTTCAAGGCAATCTTTGAAGTCCGGGGGTGAGTCCCTCAGACCAGATCCATGGGGAGAGGGAAGTAACCGGCTCTCCTAATCCGTCTTTCCCATTGCTCTTGGGTCTTGGTCATGGGGTCATACGACCCAAGAATCCGGTTCAGCAGTTGGGCGATTGGAATCCCAGTGCAGGCGCGGGCCGCGCTTGACTAGACGGGGGGAGAAGGAAGATGAGAAGGAGGTTGAGAAGAAGAATGGGGAGAAGAACGAGAAAGAGCCTCGTCAGATCCATACGAGTGGACTGACTAAATCTGGTTATCTGAGGAAGACCTGATCGAGAAAAGAGGAAGGAACAAGGACTAACTTGGTTTACCGGAAAAGGAATCGGAGAACCGACGGAGGATGTTGGAAACTTGCTCGGAGGACTTAACGGACGGCAAAGGCTCTCGAAAGGAAATGCAAAAGTGGAAGATGAAGAGAGGGAGAGGCCCTTATATACGGGAAAGGACCTTGGTCCCTTAATGGGGCGCTTATGTCTGCGAACCAGAAGAGAAGGAGAAATGATTACTTGCCGCACGTCATGCTTAGAGCCTAAGAAAGGCGAAACGACACACCAGCTGGCGAGTGGGCAGTTGGAGTAAAAATAAGTAAACAAAGTGAGTTGAATTTGACCACGTGATTAGTGTTTGAGAAAATCTACGTCGGACGAAGAAAATAGTAGTAGTAGTAAACAATGATGATGATGATGATTATAATAATAATAATAATAATAAAAGTAGTAATAATAATAATAATAATAATAATAATAATAATACTAATAATAATAGTAATAATAATAATAATAATAATTCATCCATCTCTAAATGATTCAATTTTTTTACTATTCAAAAATTGCGGAAACTTTAGTTTATTTGTGTGTTTTCATTTTGTTGTTTGATGAAATAAAATATTACTGTTGACTCGTGTTTTGTAAAAATTTTTATATATTTTTTAAATATGTAAATTTATTTTTTATTTATATTTTCATATTTAAATAAAATAAATAAATATTAAATTCCATAAAAAAGAACTACGAGGGTAATATTTGATAATAGAGGACTAAATAGGGAAACTACCCTGTTATAAAGGACCAATTATGAAATTTACTCTAAATTTTATTTGGTTTTGCATAAAAAAATACTCTCTCCACCCCAATTTGATTACAATTTTTTTCTCTCCCCTATTAATAACTTTTGTTTGTTCACGGAATTTCATCAAGTATTTGATAAAATAAAATATTCTTGTCACCTTTTGTTTTGTAGAACTTTTGGCGTACTTTTTTAATATACAATTTTTATTTATTTATTGATATACTAATTTATAAATAAAATAATTTTAAAAAGTAAAATAATTATACTTATAAATTCGAATTTTTAATCAAATTAGGGACAGAGGAAGCAAATAATTTAGGTACGGATGAAGTCTTAAAATTAGAGGGTGTCAAAGTGTCCAACTGTCAACCGCGAACAATAATAAAACTGCTTTCACTTCATTATTTCAAAATAGTACAACTCCTCCCGTTGGCCTAGGGTACACTACTTTGTAACCCATTTTGCACGACACCTAATCACCATTCATCATTCACCAAAGTCCAAATTTTTTTGGACCATGCTACATTTACACCAAAACTTGTACCCTATCTGTACACCGCAGTTATATACAAACATTTTGATGGTTTACATCGACACAAATGTTGGTACGTTAACAAAAATTTACACGAATACAAAGTGTTGGTGCATTAACAAAAATTAGATTTACACCAACGCAGAGTGTTGGTGCAAACCTACAGGGTACAAAATGAGGTACAAAAGATTGGGGTACAAGTAGCATTATCCATTTTTTTGTGTACAAACTGTAATGAATTAAGTTATTTGAATATCAAAATTTGATCCTACTTTATATCCCAAAGATATACATCAATATTTAGTCTTAGTTTGCTATTAGTGTGATGATTTATTTTGGCAAAAAATACCAGTGTAAATTCTTTTAGTTGATAGAATATTTTCTTTCAGTGTGAATCGTTTAATTGTCGATACATTTTTTAGGGTATACCTTGAAATACTTTTTGGTGTACCCCTACCATGACTGAACTGCAATACCTTCGTTCATTTTTACACACCATCCAATATACTTCTTTAATCTATTTTATCTTGAAATTTGAATATTAAAAAATTATAGAAAATATATATTAATAATCTATATGTTAAGTCAAATCAAACAAGATCATGACTATATTTAGGCTTACACATTGAAAAAATTTGATGAGTCAAATTGCTTAGATGAATAATTCTAAAAGTCAAAACTGGACAAATAGTGCATGACGGAGGGAGTACATTCAAACCAATCAAACGAATTGTTCCAACTGGACTGACTGTTTTTTTAAACGATTCTATGGATACACAATGTACACCAAAGCTTCTATCAATATTTTAATGGTTTGTACCAACTTAAAATGTTAGAAAAATAAAAAATTTGTATTACTCGGTAATATTTTATGTAATTACTCCCTTCGTCCCGCTATATTCGTTTACTTTTGACTTTTGGAACAGTTCATCTAAGCAGTTTGACTCATCAAATTCTCTCAATGTGTAAGCCTAAATATAGTCATGCGTGATGTTGTCTGATTTTTCTTAATGTAGGACCTCAGACACTACCAATCAAACTCGTGACCTTGGCTCTGATACCACTTGTAGGACTTCAGACACGACCAACTCTTCTAATATCAATTGGTGTTAGAAGAGGCGCATAACCTAGCCTTATAGTGCATTCAACACAGAAGCGTCCACGACATTCGATTGTGACTTGGCCCTCATAACTTCTGCCACGGGACAATTGATGCACGCACATGGGCAACACTTAACATATAGATTATTAATAAATAATTTCTATAATTTTTTAATATACAAATTATAAGATAAAATGAATTAAAGAAGTGCATTGAATGGTGTGCAAAAATGAAAGTGGACAAATATAGTGGGACGGAGGGAGTATTACGCTAGCATGATACTAACATACTCCCTCCGTCCCAGAGTATTTGTCCACTTTCATTTTTACACTATCAAATACACTTCTTTAATCCATTTTATCTTATAATTTGTATATTAAAAAATTATTGAACTTATATATTAATAATCTATATGTTAAGATAAATTAAACAAGATCACACATGACTATATTTAGGCTTACAGATTGAGAGAATTTGACGAGTCAAAGTACTTAGATGAACAGTTCCAAAAGTCAAAACTAGACGAATACTCCGGGACGAAGGAAGTAAAAGGTAAATGTATACCCTTGATTTACAACTTGGAATATTTTTTTGGGATATTTTTTTGGACCATGCTACACTTACACAAACAAATATAACCCATTTGTACACCACAGGTTTGCACAAACATTTCAATGGTTTACACCGACACAAGTGTTGGTGCGTTAATAAAAATTCACACGGACACAAATGTCGGTGCGTTTAACAAAAATTAGTTTTACACCAACACAAAATGTTGGTGCAAAACTGTGGGGTACAAATTGGAGTACAAATCTTGGGGTACACCTAGCATAATCCTATCTATATCTATATTCTACTTAAAAGCAGGGGAAATCTTGCCTTATTTTTTCCCGCCCAAACGCCAGTGCATATTGACCATAGATTATTGGTACAACTTGATCAACCGCCGTGAATTATGTATTGAGAAAGGCAGGAAACATAACAATTAATTCCTTCCTTTTAAGGAGATCCCTTCCCCAATTAACTGAATTAAATACTCTATTTATTAATGTTCTTAAATAAAATTATAAAACTAGATATAAAAATGTGCTACTATTTTGTTTTGTATTATAATATATTCTACTTAAAAGCAGGGGAAATCTTGCCTTATTTTTTCCCGCCCAAACGCCGGTGCATATTGACCATAGATTATTGGTACAACTTGATCAACGGCTGTGAATTATGTATTGAAAAAGGCAGGAAACATAACAATTAATTCCTTCCTTTTAAGGAGATCCCTTCCCCAATTAACTGAATTAAATACTCTATTTATTAATGTTCTTAAATAAAATTATAAAACTAGATATAAAAATGTGCTACTATTTTGTTTTGTATTATAATATTTTCTTTAAAACAAAACTAAATACTCTTTAGTGACTCACGACACAATTTTATTCTCAAAATGGTATTACAAATTAATTTTCCGATAATCCATTACAATTTTTTTTCTTGATACGAAACGACCAAAGAAGTTGGGAGCCTATATGTTTTTTAAAAGACTGACACAAATCTTCAAAAAGAGTGTAATGCTATATTTTCTAAAACATTATTTAACATTTAAAAACTTTAAAAAAACATTAAAAAGAAAATTTGTTTCAAGTAATCCCACTTTTCATTTTTTGACGCAATAAGCTCTTTTTCAAAAAAAAATCTTTAATCCACTATTACATCTCTAATGATGATCCGAAACGCGCACACATGCCAAAAAAATAAGATTTTTACACGTAATATTGAAAAGTTAGATTTTTTTGGAAATTGTGTCATTCTGAGATTATTTCAGATTATTTTCCCTTAAATTTTTTAATACAATGTATTTGTTCAAATTGGTATTTTGTAATCTAATTGATGTTCATATAATATTTTGAATTTAATGCAAATGTTTTAAATTTTATTTTTTTTAAAATACATTTCTATTTGTATAAGTGGACCGATACATTTTTTACTTCATTATTAATTAAGTTTTTTAAATTTATTTCTCAAAAATATTTATTAAATAATTATATGTATTTCAATCCACTTTCACGAGTGGATTGAAATTTCTTTATTTTTTACTCCGTATAATTTTGATTTAATAAACCATGTTTTTGTTGATTCTGCCATTTTTCAATATCAACACAATTATATAATTTCATATTGAATTTTTTGACCGTGCAACGCACGGGTGTTGTACTAGTTTTTTTTAACACAATTAACTGAAGTTGGTTGACTTCTGAATAAAAACTTTTCTGATTCACGAACAAGGAGCATTTGACGATGAGATTTGGCTTCCTCGTGACGCTTATTACTCTCCTGAAAAGCTTATCCGTCGCCGAAGCCGACGATGCCGGTTTCGCCTACAGCGGTTTCCGGCCCCCAAATCAAATCATTCTCGACGGAATCGCCGGATTGACTCCCGACGGGCTCCTGCAGCTCACCAACCTAACCAGGCAACAACAAGGCCACGCTTTCTACCCTCGCCCTCTACACTTCAAGAACTCAACAAACGGTTCGGCTTTTTCCTTCTCCACCACCTTCGTCTTCGCAATTCACCCTCAATATGAGTCTCTCAGAGGCCAGAGCCAGGGAATCGCTTTCGTGATTGCGCCTACCAGAGGCCTCCCAGGAGCTCTTCCCAACCAGTATCTCGGGCTCTTCAATGAGTCGAACATTGGGAACCGCTCTAATCGTGTGGTTGCAGTCGAGTTTGATACCACCAGAACTGTCGATTTCGGTGATATCAATGACAATCATGTGGGGATTAATATCAATGGGTTGAGGTCTGATGCGTCTGCTCCGGCTGGATACTACGAGGATGGTGGTAAAAGTAATTTTATGAATTTAACTCTGATCAGTGGGCAGCGTATGCAAGTTTGGATCGAATATTTTGGTCTGGAGAAGAAGACTGATGTTACTTTAGCTCCGTTTAATGCTCCTAAACCAAAGACTCCTCTCGTGTCATTGTCTCGTGATCTCTCTGCGATTCTTGATGCAGAAATGTACGTCGGGTTCTCATCCGCGACTGGTACTGTTCTAACGTCTAATTATATTTTGGGGTGGAGTTTTAAGGTGAATGGTCATGCTCAAGAGCTTGTACTGTCTCAACTTCCCACACTTCCACGGTTCGGTCCAAAACGAATATCACATCTTCTGACAGTTGGGTTGCCTGTGATTGTTGTTAGCTTGGGTTTGCTAGCAGTTTTGGGTGCAATTTTTTACATAAGAAGGAAGAGAATGTTTGCTGAAGTATTTGAAGATTGGGAGGTTGAGTATGGGCCTCACAGATTCAAGTATAAGGATCTATACATTGCGACGAAAGGATTCAAAGACAAGGAGCTGCTGGGTTCCGGGGGATTTGGGAGGGTTTATAGAGGAGTTCTACCCGCCACGAAAATAGAGATTGCTGTCAAAGCGGTCACACATGATTCAAGCCAAGGGATGAAAGAGTTTGTTGCAGAGATTGCGAGTATGGGTCGTCTCCAGCATCGGAACATAGTTCACCTCTTGGGGTATTGCAGGCGTAAGGGCGAGCTGCTTTTGGTTTATGACTACATGCCTAATGGAAGTCTGGACAAGTACTTGTATAACAGGCCAAGTGTGACCCTTGATTGGGGGAAAAGGTTCAAAGTTATCAAAGGCGTTGCCTTGGGATTGTTTTATCTACACGAACAATGGGAGCAGGTGGTGATTCACAGAGACGTCAAGGCTAGCAATGTTTTGTTAGATGGCGAATTTAATGGAAGATTGGGAGATTTCGGCCTTGCAAGGTTGTACGACCGTGGCACAGACCCAAAAACAACCCATGTCGTGGGAACATTCGGTTATCTGGCCCCAGAGTATGCAAGAACCGGAAAGGCCACACCACGCACTGACGTGTTTGCTTTTGGGGCATTTTGTCTTGAAGTTGCCACGGGGAGGAGGCCGGTCGAGTCCCACTCCCAAACAGAGGTTACAATTCTTGTTCAATGGGTCCATTCTTGCTGGGAAGCGGGTAGTGTCCTCGATGCAAAGGACCCGAATCTGGGATCAGATTATGCAGCGGAGGAAGTTGAATTGGTCTTAAAACTCGGGTTGATTTGCTCCCACTCCAACCCTGAAGCAAGGCCGACAATGCGCCAATGTGTTCAGTATTTCCAAGGTGAAATTCCCTTTCCTGGAATCCCTTCACTTGCTCTATCTTCTGGTGGATTGGCATATGGTCGTGGAGATGGCTTCACTGATTTTACCGCCTCATATTCATCTTCTGTTGCAGAGTCCATCCTCTCAGGAGCTCGATGATTCTCCCCACAAAAAGATCAGTATGTATATCTCAAGTATAGGCATGTTATCTTCTCATCTTAATCGTCTCGTTTCTTCTCAGAAATAGAGAGTATTGGGTAACAATTCTAAATCAGATGTGATTTTTGTATTTATATTTGGAATACTGCATCACAGTTGTTCTATTATGTACTTACTCAGGTCCAAAAAAAAACCTTTCTTTCTTTTGATTTTTTTGTCAAACTGTGACACTCTTTGATCACAAATTATGAAAAAAGTATACCCATTTTGAATTGGTCTTAACTGCGACGCAAAGCCGCGCTCAATTTGAGGCTGAAATTTGCGGTGGCCGCCCACTGCGGGTGGTCCGCAACGCCTAGAATTTTTTTTTAAAGTTTTTTTCTTTAAACCCTATAAATTCAACATATCTTTCACTTCAATTCATCGAATCTCATCTCTCTAAATTTACCCATTTTCTTAATTTTTCCTCACTTCTCCCAAATAAAAAACTGGCTCTTACCTTATTTAAGAATTTCGTCTTTTTTATTTTTGTTTTTTATTTTAATTATGTTTTGGTGTATTTCATCTTTTATATCGATGTTGTTTTAATAAAGAATGTCAATCTTAGCATTCTTATTTTAATTATGTGTATTTTTTTAAATTGTAATTAAAATTGATAAATAATGTAAAAAGAATGGAGAGGCGGGTTTAAAGGGCGATATCATTTCTGGATTTTGGGGCGGGACGAAAAAGTTAGTAGAATGCTGATGTGACAGAAGTTGTGGCGGGGCTCATTTAAATCAGGATTTGTTTTTTAAATAAAAAATTTAAAAAAAAAAGGCCTTTTTATGTGAGAAGGTTCATAAAAATGATATGCATCCAAAGTGCACCAAAGAAGCACCCATTGGTAGTTACTCCCTTCCTAATATTAACTTTGTAACCTCCCTCCATTGATGGTCATCTCTCTCATTTATGTCCATAAAAATTCTTCGTCCCAAAGTATTTGTCCATATTTGACATTTTTTGTCAAAATTAGTGAACATTAATCCTAAATTAAATAAAAATGATATTAGATACTGATACAAAATTAGTTTTATTATTTTTATATAATATATTTTCAAAATATTATTTTATCTAATTAATATACAATATATATTTTATTTAATTATATGTCAAAGGTTAAAAACGGTTGACTGAAAAATATTAAAATTGGGCAAATACTCTAGAAGAGAGGTAGTATGATTTATTATTAGTTTTGTATAAATATGAAGGATAGTAAAATATTAGTTTTGTAAAATATTCTTTTGATATTTTATATGGTATCAAGAGCCAACTAAGGAGTCATCTTCCTTACTCCTTTTTTTGCCACCACTAGACTTGTTAAACAGAACTGGAATAGCTTACCTGAACCAAATTATTCGAAACTTAAATGATCCAAAAAATAAAGATCCAATCTATCATCGAAAATCCAAAATGATCCAAACCAAACCGAAACCAAACTAAACAATTCATATCCGATTTTAATCTGAAACCGATTAGATCCAAAATCGATCATATCCGAACCATTTAAATCGAAATCGATTAGATCCGAAGCCAAATATACCCCAAAGCGATAATATCTGAAACCAATTGATGGGTGTATTCCACCCAGTACCTGTCCGAAGGAGGCCTTCAAATATTTGACCAGTCAAGATTTACTTTCTAGGATGGGAAGCCTAAATGACAAAGGGGATATATTGGCCAATGACAGAAAGTTGACCGGTACATTTCGAATAGTCTACCGGTATGATTTCCAATCTCCATAAGTCCTTCTCGTGTAAACCTAACCAGTATGATTTCTATGGTTGGGAAGTGTCGGCATGAAAGAATCTAAAAAAGGGTTGGACTGTAGCGGCCAAATTCAACGAAGGATAACTGAAGATATTCAAGCAATCCGTCCAACACGCTATGCGATAAGGGAGTCACCTTCCTAGCTAGATGACAAGCCACTAAGAGATAGAGGCAATCACCTCGCGCCACCCAAGAACGTGGTCTGACATGGGTATGCAGCGTCTTGTCCCCTCTAGCTTGCTATAAATACTTGTGTAACCCTCAAATGATGGGATCTCGATTTCTTCTCACTAAACCCTTGTGTAAAAGCTCTCGTGCACTTTACTATATTCAAATAACAATTGGGCTACAGGTGTTTCCACTTATAGTCCTCCCGGTTAATTTGCGTGTTTAATACCTTTTACTGTCTTGAATCTAATAAACAATCCTAGGCCCGATCTAGCACCGTTTACCTGGTTATGTAATTTTACACCATCACCAATAATATCTTAAACCGATTAGAACTAAAAATGATAAAATACGAAAATGTGTTTGCCTTTTGAATAAGCATATTATATTTTTAAATTTTAACTTTTATTCATATTCATCATTCATCAACAATATCCTTAAACTATAGTTTAATGTTTACCAACTCTTAAACGAACTCTAGTTTAAGGTATTTCTAACCAACTCTTAAACTGTATTCTAATTTAAGGTACTCATAACTAACTCTTAAGCTATGCTAGTTTAAGGTACAATTTTTAAAAAGGTTTTCCAATTCTTAACCTAGCTTTCGCTCAAGGTACAATCTAGAAACCGAACAGCGAAATGCTCACTGTCGGGTTGGGTGGTATCCTCAAACGAGTGGTCCTCAAGTTTGGTTTGCGGATCCCGTATGTACGTTTTTAACCAAGGCCACCAAATATTCATATTTATACCCGCAAGGCATATTCTAATCTGAGGTCTATCTTAGAGGTCTTCTAGATAGCCTTAACAATTCAATTCAGTTCTCATTAATCCATTTAATTTGAACCATAGTTCAACATTTCAAAATCATCATTTTATTCAGAATATTCAACAAAGCCTAATCATCATAATCAATAATATTCATCATAATTTTAAATCAATATAACAGCCAATAACAAATAGTGGCCTAGCATTGATTGTTAACACCATAGCTTACCGTCATATATCACATAAGATTTTATTTGTCAAAAACATTATTTCTATTTCAAAAATCATCTTTATATTGATCATAATCAATTGGTTTAAAAAAAATAAGATTTTAGAGCTCTAAAAATAGCATTTTTAGAAAAATATTAGGATCAACCAGCTCGGGGGATCGATCCAGAGCTGGTGATCGATCACGAGGTGATCGATCCACCCCTTAGGATCGATCATCCGATAGAGTTGCAGAGGGTTGTTGATTCATCATCTTCTTCCTCGGGCCCACTTTCGAAAAAACAATTTTTAGTCACCAAACTTCAATTAAACTATATAGAAATGTTCTCCAAGGTTCATAGATCATTTTGGTATTATTAGTTCGTAGTTTTAACAAGAATTTCAAGGTTTATGATTCTTGGTTGTTAAAACATGTCAAACAAAAACTCAACCAAATGACCATTTATAAACGTAAAAATGATCTATATGAACATTCTAGTCACTAGATATATCCAAGGTCTTACCATGGGCTTAAATGAAGGTTTTGAGAATTTTGCATCGAAACTTCCGACGACGATAACTCCCAACTCCGGCGACCCCTCACAAAAAAAACTGTCAGCACCAGTGTGTTCTCCTCACTTAGAGCAATAGAATAGAAAGAAGAATGGGATGTTTTGGTGAAGAAATGAGGCAGCTTGGGTACTCTTATACAGGAATGGTGATGGGGAAAAAGCCAAGTTTATGTTGCTTTCTTTCCGAGTGCAATCGACTGAGTGGAGTAAGCAGCGCCGTTTGAAGATTTACACGTCTTCCCCTTAATTGGGACTATTTTGGTCCTAGGCGGGGTACATTTTTTGGTCCAACTTTCTCCGAATTAAGACCCGATTGAACCGTTGCGGTCAGACAATCAAACTCTACACAACGATATAATTTTCATTACTTATTGACAAACTTTTTATAAATCACTTATTTTTTGATCCTTCTCAGTAATTAATTAATTATGATCTAATCAATTCTGACACGTCTATTTTCGGGGCGTTACAAGAAGACCTAAAATGAACCAATGCATTCAAGGCATCCAAGGAGGAGTATATTGATGACTCAAGTGATGAGTCAAGTGAAACGGATGAAAATCCGATGACTCTAATTTGTCAAGTGATGAAGAAGACGAAGAAAGAGAAATGGGGAAGAAATATAAGAGTTTCCTCCAATGGAAATTTTATGAAGACTCAAGAAGGAGGAAATTAAAAGAGAAATAAGTTTATTCCAAGTTGAAGAAAAAAGGCATAAGTCAAGATAAGTCTTTTTCTTACTTATTGGAATAAGATATTTTGTCTGCTTTTTAAAACTTGCATCATTTTAGGGGGAGTTTTGTTGTAAATGTACCTTCTACCCAATGATCCCTAAACTATCATTTATCCTAAAATTCATTTTGATAGGGGGAGGATTTTCAAGAAGTTATACATGCTTTAAAAAAGTTTAGAATCCCTTTTTGATTTTGATAAAAGGGGGAGAAGATGTATACTTCAAAGTGGTGCATATGCAACTTGACTTGAGTGCATTCTTGTGTGATTGTTTGCATCAAACTTAGACTTTCAATTAACACCAAGAAAAGTTCAAAGTAAATATTTTCAATATGCTTACTCTTAGAAGGAGATTGCTTACTTCATTATTTTACTCCCGCCTAACTCACTTTGAAGCATATTGCTTGTCAACATCAAAAGAGGGAGATTGTTAGACTTGATTTGCTAAAGCCTCGTGTTTTGATTTAACAAATAATATAAAAGCTAAACATTTGTTTAAGTGTTTCAGGTACATCAAGATTTCATTAAGATTCGGTCCTCAAAAAACGAAGTTGAAACACCAAACTAGCATTGAATATAAGTAGAAAGCAATGTAAGAATATGAATTTATATACCTATATTCACAAGCTTAAATTTACTCACAAAAAAATATTTTTAACCTTCTCATAATCATTTTTAAACAAAATTGGAAAAGATTTGAAGAAAAATGAAAAAAATCACACTAATGGTCAGCGTGTACCTAGGTACCTACCGTAACTAGATGTCGTACGGTACCTACCCTCCCGTGACAGGTATAATTTTGGGCTACGTAACGCCAGAGAAGGTTGAATTTTAGAGTATACGATACACCCACACAGTAGGCCCTACCGTGAGCACGGTACCCACCTACCGGATGGTACCTAGCTGTCGTGACAGGTACCGTGACCATTGGAGAAAATTCAGATTTCGGATTTTGAATTTTATAAACATTTAATTGGTCAAAACCTTTCCAAATCATCTTCCAACGGCTCCTTAATATTTTCCACTATAATTATAGCTTTAATCCTTCATTTTAAACAAGAACTCAAGCTCCAAACATCTTACTTTTATATTTCAAGGGTGTTTACTCTTTTATTCTTAATTCTTCATATTTTTCTATTTTAAGATCCCCATTCTCCTGATTTTCATACACGCGCTTCTCTCATAATCATAAGTTTATTTTTTATCTTTTCAGAGAGTATAGTTTTCCTTTTACACCGGCTAAAGTTTTGTTCTCAATTTTGTATTTAAGCCATTGTGTAGAACCATTTCTTGTCTTCTTCAAACACATTTTGTTACGGTCGAAAATAGCCGTTAAATTCTCACGTTGCAATGGTCGAGGATAGTTGTATAAATCCTTGGGTAGAAGGTTCAAGGATAGACTTGTAAATGCTTCAGGGGAACGGTTGAAGATAGCTGTGAAATATTCATTGTAAGCAGTTCGGGATGACCGTTGTAAAATCTCGGAGTGAATCCTATTGGCAAGGGTTGTTTGCCAAAACTAGTGTGGTGCTTTGATAGAGTTCAAGAGACCGGGACTTAGTAAATTTGCAAATCCTTAAGGAGGAGCCTTAAGGTACTGGACTAGGGAGTTCCTGAACAAAAATAAAATCGTTGTGCATTTTATTTACGCTTTAATTTATGCATTTTATATATTGCTTCCACATTTTCCAACATCGTTTGTACTAAACTCTGAAAAGTTTTTCAAACGTCTTATTCAGCCCCCCCTAAGGCGTGGGCACAACGACTAACACTTATTTATAGAAAAATATTTGTTTATAAAAGAATTATACACAACGTGATTTTTAAAATCATAAATACTTTTGTACATAAAAAGACTCATTTTTAAACTTAAAAATGTTATGATATCGAGTAATAATACACTCTTTTCACTATATAAAAATGTAGTGAATATTGAGAATATATTTAATATTTCAAAGAAAATGTTTAAATATATTAATGATATGAACTATCAATTATGTAATATTTTAAAATTATTAAATTTAATAAAATAGTTTTAAGTTTAATTAAAATAAAAATTAAATTTAATTACACCAGATCTAATTTGATCATATTAGATTCAATATTAGATTCAATCATACCATCAAATCTAACATTATCAGGCTTGATTCAATCTAATCAGGTTATCAGATCATATCAAAACTTCAAAAATTTACATCAGACTCAATCAGATCAGGCCTAAGGAACATAGCATAACAAAGAAAAGACAACAGAGATTATGTAAGAATTGTTTCTTTATGAATATTAAGAGGAAAGAAGTATATTTAGTATAATGTAAATTTAATATATTGGTTACTTTTGAAATGTACTTTTGATATATCAAACTTTTGTAACATTTACTCTTTTCGTCTTAGAGTTATAGTTACAACTACTATTCCGGTCTTTCCATAATTTGTTGGTATACTTTTGTTGACAATTTGTTAAAATAGAATTTTTTTTGTAAGTTCTTATTTGTCTAGAACTTTTTAAATATGTAATTTTCTTTCTTTTTATTTATATATACCCATTTGTAAATAAAATAACTTTAAAAGATATAGAATTTCATACATTGTTAAAAGTGAGACTTAATCTTGAGATGGACGGGGTATCTATTTAAAAGAATACTACCTTCGTCTCTTAAAAACATTTCATCTTTGACTTGCACGGAGATTAATAAAAATAAAATTGTATGGTCAAAAGTTATACAAATGAGAGAAAAATTATAAGGGCCACATTTTTTTATCAAAATTGGAAAGTGAAATATTTTTTTGGGATGGACAAATAAGAAAATATGAAATTTTTTATGAGACATAGGGAATATTTATTAGTGGTCAGAGTTTGTAAAAGTTTGACAAAAAAAATTCAAATTGTATCTTTAGCTTTAGGATGTAGGGAGTATTATAGATGAAATACGAAGTACCTCTCTCCAAGCGTATTCGTTGTTTTTTAATCAAAATAGATGAATTTTAATAATCAAATTAATTAAATATATATTACATATTCGACAAATTTTACCGTGGATTTAAGATCCACGGTGCACCTACAGACGAGGCGGATAAGCGTCTGCTTCCTGTTGAAATAAGCATTTTCTTTATGTTTGAAAAAAAACTAATTTTTTTGTGAGAAGGTCTACAACATTTTTTGAACCTTAGGTACACCAAAGAAGCACTCTACATATTAATGATATAAAAATAATTTTTTTTATTATCTTTCGTAAGATGAATCTTATAAAATTGTTGTTATATTTACCTTCAGTATTACTACCTCCGTCCCAGAGTATTTGTCCACTTTCATTTTTACACACCATCCAATACACTTCTTTAATCCATTTTATCTTGTAATTTGTATATTAAAAAATTATAGAAATTATATATTAATAATCTATATGTTAAGACAAATCAAACAAGATCACACATGACTATATTTAGGCTTACACATTGAGAAAATTTGATGAGTCAAAGTGTTTAGATGAACCATTCCAAAAGTTAAAACTGGATGAATGTAGCGGAACGGAGGGAGGGAGTATTTGGTTGGTGCTTAAAACTTACTACCGGGTAACTAGTTTGACTTGATAACACTATGACCGAGCTGGGTATTTTAGAAGTTGGATACAAAAGTTGAATTGTCTGCTCGGATAGCAAGCTTTCAAGCCAACATCACACAAGTTTTCTATTCAGGAAAAAGGATGAACCACCCAAGTTAATTTCAGGTAGAGTTTCGGGAAGAGTTGACCATGCGTTTCAGATTCTTCGCTGTGCTAAATCTTCTTCTTCTTATTCTCCTAAGCTCAACAGCAGCGGCGGTTGATTTCGTCTACAATGGATTCCCCTCCTCGAATCTAAGCCTCAGCGGAATCGCCGACCTGACCTCCAACGGCCTCTTGCGTCTGACCAACGGGACAGCGCTGCAAAAAGGGCAGGCTTTCTACCCTCGCCCGGTGACCTTCCACAACTACAACTCCTCCTCCGCCTTGATCTCCTTCTCCACTTCCTTCGTCTTCGCCATCGTTCCTCAGTTTCCTGCTCTCAGCATTCACGGAATCGCCTTCTTAATCGCCCCCACCCCTGGCCTCCCCTGGGGTATGCCCACCCAGTATCTCGGTCTCTTCAACCAGACAAACAATGGCAACTCCACCAACCACGTCGTTGCAGTTGAGCTCGACACGGCCCAGAACAAAGAGTTCGGCGACATCGATGACAACCATGTTGGGATTGATATCAACGGGTTGAGATCTGAAGTTGCTGCTTCCGCGGGGTATTATGATGAGGACGGGCATTTGAGGAACCTGACCCTTACCAGCGGGCAGCCGATGCAAGTTTGGGTCGAATACGATGGTTCAGAGAGAAAGATGGAGGTCACTCTAGCTCCCATTAATCGCCCCAAACCCAGGACTCCTCTTTTGTCCTTAGTTCGTGATCTTTCTTCCATTATTAATGACTATGATGAAATGTATCTTGGGTTCTCCTCGTCCACCGGTGCAATTCCAACATCTCATTATATTCTGGGCTGGAGTTTCAAGACGAATGGTCGGGCCGAAGACCTCTCCATTTCTAGACTCCCTAGACTTCCTCGGGTCCGTTCCCGAAAAAAATCCCCACTTTTGACCATTGGGTTGCCTTTGATTGCAGCCGGTCTTGTTCTGATTGCAATCTCAGGTGTTGTAGCTTACTACATAACAAGGAAGAGAAAGTTTGCTGATGAAGTTGTTGAAGATTGGGAGCTTGTATACGGGCCTCACAGATTCAAGTATAAAGATCTGTACATTGCCACAAAAGGGTTCAGCCAAGAGGAGTTACTTGGGTCGGGTGGGTTTGGAAAGGTTTACCACGGGGTTCTACGGGCCTGCAAAACCGAGATTGCTGTGAAAAGAGTCTCCCATGAGTCCAGGCAAGGAATGAAGGAGTTTGTGGCCGAGATTGTAAGCATTGGTCGTCTCCGACACCGGAACTTGGTTCGGCTCTTGGGATATTGCCGGCGCCGGGGTGAGCTCCTTTTGGTATACGACTACATGCCCAATGGGAGTCTAGACAAGCACTTGCATGGCGACAAGCCGAATGCAACCCTTGATTGGAGAAAAAGATTCAAAGTCATCAACGGGGTTACCGCGGCATTGTTTTATTTACACGAAGAATGGGAATGCGTTGTGATCCACCGAGACGTTAAGGGGAGCAACGTCCTGTTAGACGATGAGTTTAATGCAAGACTGGGAGATTTCGGGCTCGCAAGGCTTTATGACCACGGCACCGACCCACAAACCACCCACATTGTTGGGACTCTAGGGTATCTTGCCCCGGAGCACGCGGTTACCGGAAAAGCCACACCTGCAACGGATGTGTTTGCCTTTGGTGCATTTTTGCTTGAGGTTGCCACGGGAAGGAGGCCAATCTCTCCACCAACAGGAGAAGATGCAATGGTTTTGGCTGATTGGGTTCATTCTTGTTGGTGTAGAGGCGATATTCTTGAGGCTAAGGATCCATTGATGGGGTCAGATTATGTGACAGAGGAAGTGGAATTGGTGTTAAAACTCGGCCTCCTCTGTTCCCAATCTGAGCCTCGAGCAAGGCCAACCATGCGCCAATGTGTTCAGTTCTTGGGAGGAGATTTTCCCTTTCTTGGCGTGCCTTCTCCTGCTGGTCTAGCATTTGACCATCCCCATGGCTCTCATGGTTTTGGCCCCTCATATTCATCTTCTTCTGTTGAAGAGTCTCTCCTCTCTGGAGGTCGTTAGATAGACTCTAACTATTTTTATGCAATGTAGATGATCTAAATATGTAGTATTAAGGTATTGCTATTTGGATAGTATATGATGAATAAATAAATGTTTTGCTCTTTGTGCCATATAAAAAAATTTATAAACGAAAAAGAAAGGAAGTACTCCAGTAGTCCTATTTACTTGGACGAACACACACACACACATGAGACTTTTGGTGGCAAACCCTACTGAGTAAACTCCCTATATATGTAAACAAATAAAAACCCATTCCTGGCAGTGTAAGTCAGATTTTTATTTCCTGACAGTGCAACACGGAGTTCCCTATTCCGTTTAATTTTGAAATAATGAACTAAACGGAGTAGGCTACTCCGTTTCCCATAATTTAATTTCTCAAACAGAGTAGCTTACTCCGTTCGGATTTAATAATACAAAGACGGAGTAGCGTACTCCGTTCGGATTTAAAGTCCGTGTCCCCAATCTCAGATCTTATCCACTTCCCCTACATTTACCACCACCACACAGAACCCCACGCCGACGCCGAGAGAAAGAGAAGAGAGAAGGGAAAGCCTGGCCGAGAGAAGGAGACGCCGAGGGAGAGAGAATTGCGACGAGCGGGAGATCGACGGACCCAACCCGACCGGAGTCTGGTACTCCGTTTCGTTTTTAATTTTTTTTTAAAATTTGTTTGATTGTTGTTGTACAAGATTTAGTCATAGATTTGTATGTATAGGTGTTTTTTTGTTATATTTGTTTTTATGATGTGAAAATATTGACAAATATATAGTTTAATCTTACAAATTTGATACAAATTTGTATGTATGTATAGGTGGTTACTTCATGATTTTTTTTAAATATAATTGTCTTGTTATATTTTTATTAATTGAGTATATTCTTATGTTGTAATCTTTGAAGCAAATGGATGTACATCCGGGACCTATTTTACGCGATGTTTTAGTAATTGAAGCGGGAGACCATAGGTGTGATGCGGTTTGGGCCGAAGAAGAATATGCTAAAAAAGTATTAAAGTGTCACATGACTTGTACTAGTTTGTATACGAGTACTCTTATTGTTAATAGACCGGTTCGTGTGAGTCATTTTTTACGAGAATACGGATTTCATGGGGTTGAGAGAGTTGTTGGCTTGCAATTGGATTGGGCTTTGATCACAGCTCTAGTGGAGAGATGGAGGCTTGAGACCCATTCATTCCATTGTGGATGTTGAAGATGGTGAAAGTTGGAAGTGGTTCATGAAAAATATCATGCGACATGTCGTACCTCCACACCGCCATATATGCATAATATCTGATAGGCACACTGGTATTGATCACGCATTCAATAATGTTCCAGAACTGCTGGGAGGTCAAGTCACTCGAAGATTTTGTCTCCGCCATGTGCGAAGCAATTTCCATAGCAAGTTTCGAAGTAAGAAACTGAAAAACATGATGTATAATGCTGGCAAGACCCCTAGCATAAGTGAGTTTGAGCAGACGCTTCTCGAGATAGCGTCCAAAAATCAAGAAGCGTACAACTGGCTTATGGCTATTCCAAAGCACATGTGGGCATTGTCGCATGATCAAGGTGGCGCACGCTATGGTATAACAACAACAAATTCCTCTGAAAGCTTCAATCATGTCCTTAAGGGATGTCGTTGTTTACCTGTCTTTGCCATCGTGAGGTTCACATATGACAAATTGGTCAAGCTATTTGCTGATAGGCGAACCAATGGATATTTGTGGCAACAATCTGGGTATAATTTTCCAATGAATGTGTGGAAAAAGATCAAGCACAATGAAGAAAATAGGCTTTATTGTCGTGTTGTGCAGCACCACGCACAACATGGGATATACTCTGTGGTCGTGGATGGGTCCTTCAACAATGGTCACCACGAGACATTTGCGGTGAATTTAAATGCACGGACATGTACTTGTGGATATTGGGTAATATATCACATTCCGTGCATTCACGTTCACGCAGTATGTCATCAGTGTAGTGTCACTGTGGATCATTTGATTCCTAATTTTTTTTCACTCCAGTCCTACATCAACGCTTATTCGGGCATCCTAATGTCGCTTCCAGATGAGGCCAACTGGCCTACTCCAGGATACGAGATTGTGAGACCAACTGCACGAGCGAGAACACAAACCGGTCGACCAACAAGAACTCGCTACCCGAATAACATGGACTACCGACCACGACGACGTCGCAATGAACAATAGCTATATCATGTATTTCAAATGTTCAAGTTTATGTTTTCTGATTTTAACAAAATAAATTAGTTATGTCATGTGTTTTGTATCCTAAATTTTATGAATAAATTTTATGTACTCTATCAATAAATTTGTTGTAATTTACTTCTTATTTTTAATTCAATGTATGATGCATTATCTAAAGTCAATAAAAATTTAGGTACTTTATGAATTTGTTGTTAGTCGATTGTTTGTTTCATTTTATATGTCAATAATTTTTTATGTTTTTCAAATATATGAAATAAAACTAAATAATTCATTTTTAAAAAATTGAAAAATACACGGAACGGAGTTGGCTACTCCGTTTAGGCATTTAATGAAGTGGAACGGAGTTAGCTACTCCGTTTCTTTATTTAAATCATTGGAGCGGAGTTGGCTACTCCGTTTCTGGTGAATTCTGCAGATGAAACGGAGTAAGCTAATCCGCTTTGCTTTATTTCGGAAAGTATATACTAAAGTTACATATAATGGAATGCCAAACAACAAAGTTACACATGCAGGGAAATCACCCGTTCTAAAAAAAATTCTTCTTTCTTTTTATGGAAAATTTTAAGTGACTTACAATATTTCTCTCTTCAGCATCACTTTCAACCACACATTTTATTATTAAATTAACGGGAGCAATTCCTTTGAAACTTACAACGATGGATAGGGATTGATAGATTTTTTTAGGGATTGAGAGATTTTGTTTATATCATTGTAAATCTGAGTATAGATAATTATGGAGTATTCTTTAGTGTTATTTGGGTAAATCTGTAAGCACATAATTATTGTTCCAGGCAAAAATAATAGTCTCTCCATCTTGTAATCAGATTGAATTTTTTGCAACTTAAGAAAAAGTGAAACTACCTGGTAAAAATTTATGCAAAACTTAAAGAAATAATATGGTCACAACTCATTCTTAAAAAAAAGAATGAAAACTTTATTATACGACGTCCAAAGAGAAAAGTGAGAACCCAAATAAGGAACGAAGGCAATAAGGAGTACATTTTTTGAAACTTAAATTCAGTGTTTCCCCGCGAGAGGTTTATAGAGCAATAATATGTTGGGTGCAAGTATACCTTAACTCCACCTTCTTCGATCCTCTTCTTCATCAACCGGAACATACCAAGCAGGCCTTCTCTTTGAGTTGCTCAATCTGTAATTCAAGAGCACTTCTTCTTGGTCACAAATAGGTCGAGTAGCAACAAGAACAAGAGACTTAAGGACAGGAACGGTGTCTTCCCCAGTGCCGCTTGATTTCCATGTTTTAAACCAGAAGCTGCCTAATTTCTTCATCCTCACCTCCTCCCCATTTCCAAATGAAACATTTGGGATGTAAGGTCTCAAGCCCTCATGGTCACCGCTGAGGGTAAAGTCGTAGGGGCAGATCATAACATTTGGGGTGGTGTCCTTTGCTGGGTGATTAGCAAAATGTCCAAATGCTAAAGGGTTCCTCCTCTCCAACACTTGACCACCTTTATGCCCTCCTCCACCACTTGTGCCATCCAAGGGTTTACTAAGCATGGCCCAGATTCGGTCAGAGCCGTTTTGGGCTTTAACCGGGGGAGGTGTGGTTTGTGATCCATCCCACATTTCACGAGATTCGCCACCAGCACCCCAGGGCTTTGCATTGATCACTGCCCCATCATACCTGGTGATCAAGTATGAATTTTGTGCATCAACTCTTGGGTATCCAGGGATGTAACGGTAGTATGCTGGAGAGTAGATCACACCAGGATAGAATGCTATAACAGCACCAGGATCCGCTTCCCCGTTCAAGAATAAACCAAGGCCAGCATCTTCATGAGGAATTTGAGATGGTTTGATTTCAAGTGTGTAACCAATAAGCTCCCTCAGCCTCTGAGAAACCTCCACACGCTTTAGACCCTTGGTTTCAGGAACAGCTGTACTGCATCCAAATTTGAGTAATTAGATTCTAGGAACTAGCTGATCTCATCAAATAAAGTACCTAGACCCCCTCTAACTATTATATTTGTCTCAAACAATCACCAGAATTCTAGTATTCAACAATCCCTCCCCAATAGTTCCCTAACAAAAGCTTAATTTTGTGCTAAATTTGCTCATTTTAATGAGGGTTTCATGTCAAAACTTTATGCTGGTGTTTGAAATACAATTAAGATTCATCCACATTGAGTAAGGTACTAATGAGTTAACTCATCCCACGTTCGAATCGATGTAGGGCATAAACATAGACATAAATTCAATGCTTTCAACCTCCATTGCAATAAGCTTTTGTATGTATCTGAGTATAAGCTACTAAATGAATGAAACATAAAAATGTGGGAGTCATGCAGCTCGAAGTGTTTTTTGGGAAATTAGCTGAGACAATCGTATTAAATAGAAGTTCTTTCATGAAAATAAACCAAGAAAGTGTAATCAAATGTGAAATCAAAAGTTCCAGGAATGGGTCATGAAAGTTTCTGTATTTTACTTTATTTCAACAAGTTTAAACTCGAAACAAAAGTCCCACATATTACGTAATTCTTACAAATTGAATCCACTACTAGATCAAGATGTATAATGTCCATTGCTAATGGAGCTAAGGTAGCCGTAATTAACAATGTTTTAGCTTCAGATGAATAATGGACTCAATCAAAATGACACAATAAACTTTCATTGTTTCTTACTTTCAATGAAGTTTTGGATTGTAAATGCAACAATGCATTAAGGGTCTAACGGAAAAATCTCTCTATTGTTTACATGGGTAAGGCTACGTACACCTTGATCCCAAAGAAGTTGGGATTATGTAGGGCTGTTGTACTAAATCAAAGTCTAACCAAATGAAGAACTCCTTGTCATTCAAAATAAATAGCCTATGTTTGAAACCTGGTCTGCGCAGCAAAATCTAAAGTTCCCAAGGACAAGACAAGTATGTTATAGGAAAATGAGGATTGAATATACACAGAACTAGAGGCTGAATTTAGTAATGTTGGAAACATTTAAAGAAGCAATGTCTCCCGCAAAAATTGTTCACCGGGATTTTTTTTAATTTTGTGTCCACTTTCTATGGAGCTAAAAGAATTTTAAAAATAATTTAGCTCCAAGAAATAATGGACTAAATCAAAATGACACATTAAACTTCACTTGCTTTTTACATTCTATGAAATTTTGGCCAGGAAATGCATCACGGGTCTAGCGAACAACATCTCTTTTCTTTACATGGTAAGGTTGTGTACATCATGATCCCAAGGAGTTGGAATTACACTGGGCTTGTTGTTGTTGAAATACAATTTAAATTTTCATCATGGCCTCATGGGACAATGTTGATCATATCTGCTATCTGTCGAAGTAAAATTTTACATGGTAGAGTAATTGCAAATTAAAAATCTAGAAATATCTAGTTTAAATCCATCAAAAACTTGGAGGAATTAATATCTGAAACTGGAGAAGAGATCGTGCAGACAACTTTACAAGGACAGTAAAAAATATTCATATTGGGATAAATTTCTTTTTTGGTGCAAGTCTTTCGTTCTCTCCAATCCCTAAACCACAACAATGGCTACCAATCTCACTTGACTATCATCAATTAGCAACAGTAAGTCCCTCATTGTAATGTTGTTAAATATGGACAAAGTCCATGACAGATGGACTGAGAGTAGTTAACTTTGTAATTGACGGACCAACATTACAATCTGTTTCCAGTCCCTCAATTATGCATCTAGCTGATCTTAGACAATCAGACCCTTCAATAATGAATTGATATCCTCTACAAAGAACTTACTGGATAATAAAATTACATAGTCAAGATAAGTGATGGTGTACTTGTGTCAAAGATTTTAAGATTCAAACGTATGCTACCAAAGAGGTTTTAAAGGTGGAGGGAGGGTCTGTCCTTCATTAGGTGTTAAATAAATATCATTACTACCAAGGTTAATGAAAAGTAAATTGCAAGTAAATCCCTTTCGATGTTACATATCCAATTCGATACACAAAACAAAAGAACAATAGTGAACTGCTTAGAACAGTAAGATAATAAGCACTTACCGGAGCAATTATTCAATGGAGAACTTCCACCAACGGCAAGACTAAGACCACCACGACGAGGTGGGTTAATAGTTTCAGAGAGTAATTGGGGCTCAACTCGGCTCTTCAAATCAGGCAATAAAATCTCATCCATACAAGTACAGAAGGTTTCAATTTGAGAATGAACGTTTTCCTGAACTTGCTTTTGTTGATCATTGAGGGGGGCATTACTAGCCATATCAATAATCTCTTCGGCATCTTTTTCATCAGCTCCCTTCCCCAGACGGTGGTGGCTGAAAATATTGTATTATCATGAGAAGTCGAAAGCATAAAATGTGGAAGCCATGAATTTGATTCATCAATCCTTCAGAAAGATTAGGTGGGAAAATCAAGATATGTATATCATTCATACAGGACAAGTAATGCAATGATATATGAAGTGTATGTGTGCATTCGTACCCCCTCCATCCCAAAACAAAGTTTAAAATTTCACTTCCTTACTTATATATCAAAGGAGTACGAATATATACGGAGTACTTCATAAGTGCCTTTATATCAAGGACTTCGTTACTTTCATATCAAGGGAGTGAAGGGGTCATCATCAGCAATTCACTCTTTGCGATTGATAAGAATTGAGACCATTCAGAAACTGAAAAAGTATTTGTTCCACTTTCTGCTTATCCAATGCATTCAAGAAGAGTCTTGTTTTGGCTGTATATACCTTTAACGAAGGAAACTGCATCATGCCATCCAGTTCTTCCCAAAAACTTTGCAGTTTGGTGTAGTACTCACTCACACTCATGTGACTTTGCTTATTTTACACAAATCTGCTTATTCAATATATTATGTCCATTGACAATGGAGCTAAAAGAGCCATAATTGACAATATTTTAACATTGAGTAAATAAAGGTCGGGAATTTGACTTTAAAAATCGGGTTTCGGGTCGGGTTCGGGTTTCAGTTTAAAGGTCGGGTCGGGTTCGGGTATAGTATTATCCGACCCGAACCCGACCCGTTGCCATCCCTAGATGAGTTGTGAGTGTCTTTTGTAATCTTCGAACTTTTGAAATCTAAAAATCTTCAAGGATTCTCGAAACCACAAGAAACATCTGCAGCATGACAAATCTTGGACAGAAATGACTTGAATAACTTGGCCTCTGAATTTTCAGATTACTAGAATGAATCAATCAGTTGTTCTTTTCCAGTAGGATATCCGAACCAGCCGACACAATGGCTGTGATACCAAGTTGATAAGACACTTAGCAGAAGCTAAATGAAACTTTTGTTAATTGAAGTCAAAGTGAATGTCTTGCTTACAGTTGGTAGTCAACACTACTTATATACAAGGGCTAAAAGCCCAACCAAAGGAGAATAGAAGGGTTATGGAGCCCAGCAGAAGTAACAACCCCAGCTAACTTCCAACTAACTCAACTCAAGGTACACGAATGCTTCAGGGAGTCTTTGTACTGGGTGAATGTACCAAATTCATCTGCAGAATCATAACAAAAATTTTGGTGTATTCTTTTAAGGAGCAATGTTTACAACCTGATATTCTTGATTTTCATAGTTAAATTATTGTAACCGTGTATCATGTGTCCCAACTTCTTTCAAGAATTACATGATGGACCTAGATGTGAGTTGTATAGAGGTTAAGGTACAATGATTTATGTGGTCCACATTATGACTTGTGAGATTCTGAGCAGTGTTGTAATGTCGGAAACAGGAGTTGATATCAAGGGTTCGATTCTTAAAGGAAATGTACCAAACAAATAACAAAAACAAAGATGTATCCCAAGTAACTTGGGTTTGGCTAAATTAATCATTTTTTGTCTTGAAGTAGTGGGGGATGATACTTAAAACATAGAGAGAGCTTACAACCTTCAGCATGAGGATATGTACATGCATTCTATTGATTATTTAAGACAAATCTCACTACTACTCATGAAAAGATAAGAAATTGCTCCAAAGATCATTTTCAACTTTTCATGTAGAACTAATCAGAAGTTAATCTAACTAGAAAGTTTCTTTAAGGTGCAAATGTGGAAAGCCTTCTCTACAAAACTTTATTCTATAGTTGTATATAGAGCATCATTTCGTAGCTCAAAAAACTTCTGCCAAAAAATCTGAGACGTTATTACAAAGAATGACAGCCCATTGGAATGCTACTAGTGTCCCCTGCTCACCTAGTATAAAGGCAAAGGCGATTTATATCTGATTCAAACTGAACATGTCTTGGATCTCTTGCAAATGTGGGAAATTTAGCAAGCACCTTCACGGACTAAAATTAGAGAAAAAAATGGAGTGTTAGTTCAAAATGGTGTTTGAAAATCATTGCAAGATTAAAACAAGAACACACCGATAAAGAATAAAGTCTTAAGAGGTCAATGTTGAAAGTTGTAAACATATCAAATGTTTGAAATTTCAGAAAAATGCAAAAACTTTCACGTTGGAGAATGGGGGAATGATAACCTCTTGAAATTTGTTGAAGAGAAAGGCCATCGAGAAACCGCTGTAGTACTTTGGTAATTGGTAAGTACTCTCTACGGCAGCTGGAATTGTGAATGGAGAGCGACTCCTAAAATGAGAAGAAACAGTGTGGAAACCCTAAAAACCCAATCTATATGCAGTATACAGCGGTCCTGTCTAACAAATGTAAAGGCAAAACGAAAAGAGAAAAAAATGTTGCTACTTGATTCAGAGATGCTAGCACCTAGTAGCAGCTCACCGGCAAAGGTCCATGTTCACCGTGCAACCAAAATAATAAGGCCAAATTTGAGCAATTTTTTTCTAGAAGAAGAAATGTGCTAGAACTTAGAAGGATCATTAAAGGGCCCGCTTGTGAGTTTGTGAATTTTAGAGTGTGAGTTCTAAAAGTTGAAATAATAACATGGGTTCGTGTGAACGTGAAGAGAGGAGAAGGACAACATGTAATACTTTGAAAATGGGTCTATAAGTTAATTGCTAAGTGAATAAATAAGAATAATTTATTTATGATATTTTGTTCTTTTAAAGAATTAAAAAATACTTTGGAGATTCAAATCGTCCCAAAATAATGTGACTAATCTAATTGTAATTGTAATGATTTAAATCAGAAAACTTATCACTACTAATTAATCAAAAGAATTAATACAAATCTTATGTAAATTATAAATACTTGTTGATTGATTATAAAAATTATATCATTGGGTGGAGGCAGACGGATCGAATCTAACGACATAAACAGATCTCAATTTAGAGCAAGATGGCGGGAGTAATACTAAGATTCACCTCGTAAGCATAAAGTCAAAACTTTTAATTTTAAAGTTAATTATGCTTACGAAGTGCAATTGACGTACGTGGGGTGAGTGAGTTTGGGTCAGGACTTGGCGGGGATTTACCTGGGGGTTAAAGTAGAAATCATTAATTTTATATTATGAAAGGGACAATGGCTTTCCGTAGTCTCCTAGACTGGATTCGTGGCCATGGAAGGGATCCCTTTATATTATGCCCATTCTTGTAAATCTTCTCCTACCGCCGGCCATCATCCACGGTCCACCAAGTTACTATTCGGCGCGTCATGACCGGCGAGGAAGCACTCTGCGGTGCAGCTCGAAGGGGCGACTTGGACAAAGTGAAATCATTGATAGTGTCCGGAGCAGACGTCACATACTTCGACAGTAACGGCCTAAATCCACTGATGCACGCCGCCAAGCACAACCACGCTGAGGTAGTGAGGAATCTCCTCGAGGCCGGTGCTCCCTGGAATGCTCTCTCTCCTTCCAATCAATCTGCCGGAGACTACGCTATGGAAGCTGGCCACCAGGAAGTTTTCGATGTGCTCCTCAATGCAGGTTAAAACTTGATACAACTTACAATTTTCATTGTAATTCTGCAAATCCAATCTAAATAAAAGCGTCTTTCCACTTCCCAATTTCCAATCACCTAAATTCGAATATATAAATTTGGAAGTTTTTCACGTGTGTTAAGAATGGTAATATGTCTCCTGAATCATGGAGAAGTATAAAATTAGAAATAAAACAATTGACAAACTGATAATTTTATAGAGAAATTTTAAAGAATTTTATTCTCACACACAAACAATTGACAACAATGACAAATTACAAATACTAGGTAGAAATTTAGGGAAGAGAAGATTATGATTTTATTACAAGGACTAATTTGCAAGATTTACAAGGCCTAAAATTTAAATTCATATTCTATACGAGTTAGGTGCCATGAAATGTTTAGTATTATGTAGAGTACTCTAGAGGATTTGAGACACAAATTATATGTTCTTGATGCATCAAATATGAGATGGACCACTTTAACATGTTCGTGCATTAATTAGATAAATAATGTGTGCTATCAAGAGGTTACTTATATAAGAAAATGTTTAACCTTTCTGGTTTGTATGTGTAGCATTACAAGCTGAAATGATACTTGGAACAATTTTAAGGAAGGGAAGTGAGATCAAGGATTCTGATAATTACTTGGAAGACAGAGTCAGTTTCAGTGAGGATAAGATTATGGATGCAGAAAACAAGGCTGTTATGATGGCTTGGGAGAAGCCTTTGATGGAGGCTCATGCAAAGGCAGTTTGCTCAAATGGTGGTCACATTTTGAATATTGGATTTGGAATGGGGCTCGTTGACACCGCAATTCGGCAATATGCACCTGCTTCGCATACCATCATTGAAGCTCACCCCGAGGTTTATGATCGTATGATACAACAAGGGTGGGACAAGAAGGAAAACGTGAAGATCATTTTTGGTCGTTGGCAGGATGTTATTTCAAAAATTCAATGTTATGACGGTAACCTCTTAATTGCTCCTTCCCCCTTAAAGCACACCAAACTGAACTAGACAAAACCAATATACTATCCCAGTAAACTTCATAGCAGCTATAAAACTTCCCACCCTAAGATTGCCAAATTGGTCTTTAAAAGAAATACTACCAAAAAATAGAAATTTATGTCAAACTGTCATTTCACATATATTATATATCTCGCATATGCACATACATTTACAAGTTAAAACATTGTTCATTCATGCATTTAGTTTTTGCACATACTTAGAGCAGTCATATTATGAAATTAATGTATGCATATTAAATAATTGTACAATGTCCATTTTCTTGCTAAAAACTTTTCATTTTGTTGCTCATAACACTTCCAATCTGTGAAAGGATAAAAATGAACTAGCAAAAGTACACTTTTTTTTTGCACATACTCAAAGCATGCACATTATAAAATTAGTGTATGCACATTTATACAACAACAACAATAACAACCACAACCTAGTTGGAATGTTGGATCCCACAAGAGTAGGGTCTAGGGAGGAAGTGTGTATGCAAACCCCTACTTCAGGGTCCTGAGACTTCAACGGCCTGGGCCGAGACAGGAAAAAAAGACCTTAGAAGTCTTATCCCTAATCCCCTACTGATTTAAACAATTAAAATATGTAAACTAATTTTATTTAAATGACAATTAACCCAATAGTATTAAAAGAAAATAAGTAAATGACAAAATCATAGTAGTATAATTACATACTGTAAAAACTAGCCGAGAATTCGTAAAGTTCTCCTTGCATTTTTTAGAGCAAATTGATTGATCACATCTTAGTGAAATCAAATACACAAATACAAACTTTAAATTTCCAAAAAAAAAAAGATCTTCAGATTATTGAATTAATAGATTTTCAGATTTTCACAACAAATTCATAACAATTAGCAAAAATTTCAAATAAAGATTTTCAATTTTTCACATGACAAATTCATATAATAAATTGTCAAATTCACAACAAATATTCATAACAAATTCATAACACAAATTTATGAAGATTAACGATTTTCAGATTTTCACATAACAAATTGTAAAATTCTTAAAGAAATTCAGATATTGGCATTTTTTTTTACCTCCGTACCTGGACTCTTGGACCTGGAGGTTGGAGAGTTTCCGGCAAGGCGGCGTCTGGCGGGCAGCGGCTAGACTCTGGAGCAGTGGAGCGTGCAGGTGGGCGGTGGCGTCTGGCGGTCGGCGGCGACTCTCTCTCGGCGACTTCTTCTGGTGTCTTTTTCAATTTCCATCCGTGCCTTCGTGTTTTTGGGCGTTTGGCCACTTCCGCTTTCTTCTGTGGAATGGAAATAGGAGGGCTAGCTGGGCTGGGCTTCAATATATATATAATATTTAGAAAAAATAAGACCCCTTAAATTGTTGGGCCTGGCCCGGTTGGACTGCTTGTCCCCCTAATGGGCTGGCCCTGCCCTACTTGAAACTAGAGAGGCTGTTTCCAAGAGACCCTGGCTCAAGCAACACAGATAAAAGCATAATAAATAATAATGTATGCACATTTATGAGTTGCATATTGTCACTGGATATTAGATATACAAGTAGGTATGGCTGGATCCATGGTATATTTTGCTGAGATTTTACAACTGGCAGATCAATAACTGTTTGATATCTTTTTTTGAACATATTAGGTATATTCTTTGACACCTACGGTGAGTATTATGAAGATATGCGAGCGTTTCACCAATATCTACCTAAACTGTTAAAGCCTGGTGGTATCTATTCATTCTTTAATGGGCTCTGTGGAGCTAATCCTTTCTTCCATTCCGTTTACTGTCAGTTAGTTTCTCTTGAACTTGCCAGCATGGGGTTTTCTACACAGTTCATACAACTACCAGTGAAGGATTGCTTCAGTGAACAAATCTGGGAAGGAGTAAAACACAAATACTGGCAGTTGGATACATATTATCTCCCTGTTTGTCATTCTCCAGATGAATCTGACTGATTTTGTTTACTTTGTTTTGATTTTGCTTACTTTGTTTTTGTTGGTAACAATAGCCAAAAGGGCATTTCTTGAACCCAGACACGGTGGGAGCTGCATTTCAAGACGCTATGTGTTCTTTTGATACCATACTGCTCCTACTATTTAGTTTCAATTAAAAACTCCTCATTCCCAAGCATTGCAGCAGCAGTCTTTTCTTGTGATTCTTGTTGCCGTCTTTATTATTGATGGTGCATTGTTAATTTATTGATAAAGCAATGATGTTGAGTTGTCTCATCCCATATCGGCTAAACATGTCAATATTATGCTATATTTAATAGCTTGTGTTCCTCAATCTCTTGAGTTAACTTTTGGGGTTTAATTGGACCCAAGTCTATTATTTCACATGGTATCAGACCAAATGTCATTGATGTTGAGATTGCGCTTGCAGTTATCTGCGGCTCGTGTGAGGGGGGGGGGGTTGTTGAGTTATCTCATCCCACATCAGCACTCTACACCAATATTATGGTGTTTAAAATAGCTTGGTTGTCTCAACCTCTTGAGTTAACTTTTGAGGTTAATTGGTGCGTTATAGTTTTAGACTTTTTGCTATTGCTATTAAAGAGAAACCTCTCCTTGTGAGACTACCTCAGAAGCGTAATTATTTTTAGCTTTAATAGTGTTTTTTTTCATGTACCATACAATCAACACAGACTATTATACACAAACGTTTCTTGATAATACATGTCAGGTCTGGTTGCCTGAGAATTAAACAATAACCCATTCCATATTACTCCCTACATCACAGAAAGAGTCTTTTTGTAATATTGAATCTTAGTATTACAATCAAGACTCTTTTTTCTTGATCAGAGGTGGTATCATTAATGATCATGGGGGGTATGGATGACTGCCATATAATCATGTCCAGCTAAAAGCAATTGGGCTATGGACATTATGTTTTTCATCTGACCATTCCAGATGGGCAAAGCCAGTGGTGCCAGATGGCATAGAACTAGCAATAAATGTCACTATGTAGCTCTTCTTCTCGTTCAGTCTACTAAAACTCAAAGCTTGTGGCTCAACTATCATCTCTACAGACTTGGTCTGAACAGAGAATGAGGCCTTGTAAGTAGCTGGTTTGCCCACATTTGTGAGTGTCCTTGTGTACTTGACCACTGTTTTTTTCTCACCACCCTTACCCCAAGCCGTCTCGAAAGGAACAGCAAAAGTTGGGTAATTAAGATCAGCAATTCTGTGTTCTTTCGTTGTACCACACGACACATATTTCTTTGTGATGATCTTGATCAGACTTGCACTGTATCCAGTGGCACAAAGGAAGTTTGTGTAATCATCAACTGTTGCATCATAAACAAGACCCGGATCAAGTGCTGATACCGGGTTTACATGGCCAGCACCGTGATCAAACGGTGTTGATGGCATACCATTTGCTGCATCTTCAATGGTCTTCCCATTCCTGTATGTTCTATAAGCTGTTGTTGCAAGTGCTGATCTTATAGCTGCAGGGCTCCATTCGGGATGAGCGGTTTTGAGTAGCGCAGCCAGTCCGCTCACATGCGGGCATGACATTGAAGTCCCAGAGATGATATTGAAGTCGGCACGCCTCTTGTCTTGTGGCAACCCGGTCGGTCCGACTCTCTGCGTCCAACTCGCAAGGATGTTAACCCCGGGTGCTATGAAATCCGGTTTTAGTATCTCAGGTGTGATCGAGTTTGGGCCTCTAGAGCTGAAAGCAGCCAGAACAGGTGACGGCTGGACTTCCAACCTTGTTCCCCCAAATCCGATCGTGGCTGTTGGATTGCGGGTGGAAGATATGTAGTTCTTTATCGTGTCACCTGCGGTCTCACCCACGGCTGCTGTTGGGATGAGATGGGCATCTGCAATCCGGTCATCTTCGCTAAGGTCAGTGTTTGCTAGTATCATGCCTATCCCACCTGCATCTCGTACAACCAAACCCTTTTCTGCTCTCCTGTTCTCACCTCTGTCGCATACCACAATTTTCCCGGCTACCTTTTTAGGAACCAGACTGCCTGCGGTGCATAATCCTCCATCTAATGAAGTGCCATTACTACCGGCATATACTAGGGGTACCTGGGAAGTAGACAAGGGGTTCCCCCCGTAAAGTGATACCCCTTCGAATTTCTTCCCATTACCAATACTGATATATGCCGGGAAGGCACGGTCGATTGTTCCTGCACCCACTGTTGTTATCCACGGGGCAATATTGGAGAGGCTATTTGGGAAGGGTCCGCCGTTTCCAGCCGAGCAGGACACAAAGATTCCTCTGCTGGCTGCTGCGAACGCTCCTATTGCTATTGGGTCACTGTAGTATTCGCCGGCCGCAGCGCCAAGTGATATTGAGAGTATATTCACCCCATCTTCTATGGCCTTTTCAATGGCGGCTAATATGTCGCTGCTCAAGCACCCTCCCAGCCAGCACGCTTTGTACGCCGCAACCCTTGCTTGTGGGGCCATCCCACGTGCCGTGCCAGAACCGAAACCAAACAAGTTTGCTCCGATGACTGTTGATCCAGCTGCAGTCGATGCCGTGTGTGTGCCGTGGCCGTCATCATCCATGGGTGACCTGGACTCAATGGTCTCATCAACCTGTCCGTTTGCCGCCTCATACCCACTTGCGAAAAACCTTGCACCAATGAGTTTCCGGTTACAGCTTGACGAGTTGAAGCTCTTTCCTACCTCGCACACCCCTTTCCAGCTTTTGGGAACTGGACCAAGCCCGGTGTCATCGAAACTCCTTGATTCCGGCCAAACACCGGTGTCTATCACACCAACCACAACCTCACTCTTGGTTTTCCTTATACTGTAAGCAAATGACTCTTTGCTTTCCGCCGCCCCTCCGTCAAGTCCGAGAAACAAGGGCGACCGTGTCGTGTGAAGCTCGTATTTCACCTCCTCCTGGATAGAGATGACCCCTGCCCGCCGCTCGAGCATTTTGGCTTCGTCGGCAGTCAGATGTGCTGAGTAGCCATGGATGACATTATTGTAAGAGTAAAGCATGCCGCTATCAGAAACCGACTTCAACGACGAATCGTACCAGTGGAGATGATCATTATAGCCAGAGGGCATGTTGGATCTATCCATGTGAACGATGTACGTCTTCTTCTCCTTCTGGTTTTTCACATCCAGTACTCCTTCCGCAAGTCCATGAAGGATGATAAGAAGTGCTATAGTTGAGAGGAGCATGAGATGCTTCACTATTTTGGGCATCATCGTCTTCTTCCAATTATGGTTTATTATTGTGGAACAAAACCCAGGAGGAAACAGGTGTGGGATTTGAATGGCCCCAATAATAGAGGAAGAAATGGGTATGTAACTGCTTAGAGAATGAACGTGTTGTTGATTGTGGAGCCTAAGGATGGTTCGTTCATATACTGAGTAGGCCAAGTCTAATGGGCCCTACGAGAATCAATCTCATATATGCCAATGATACTGATGTTATAACAAAGATCAACTTGCATTACAATGAAATAATAATATGAATCAATAATGAATAGTAGTTTGTGTTTTCAACGACAACGATGACATGTTGCATCTTAATTATCGCAATGAATCTTTTCTTTATTACTCTTTTCGTGATTTGATTTATGCTGAAATTAGTTTTACTTTAATTTATACGATTACTGGTGTGATTTCAAAAATAAAATCTATATTTACTAAAGTAATACTTCCGTCTTAAAAAATCTTTCATGTTTCATTTTTTGCGCATCCTTTAAAACACTTCTACCGACATCTAAAATGTCTAAAATTTATAACATTTCTTCTTTATTGTGGGTAGAAGTTATTTTGAAAGTTTTTTGGCATTCGAGACGGGATAAAGGTGTTTTATGGAATGCACAAAAAATAAAACAGGAAAGACTTTTTGGGATTTAGGGAGTATAAAATTTGTATGTCTAAAAATTGCATCAAAATGGTCAATGAAAGTTTGCAAGGGTAGAAAATACTTCGTGATTAAATCTTTTTTAAGAAATTTATTTAAATAAGAAAAAAACATTAAATCTATAAGAAATCACCCAAATAGGAGTAAAATATACGTAGTATTATTTATCCTAATAATAGGAATTTCATATTTTTGAATTATGACATTATGACTCTTTATAGAAGTATCCCAGTATATTTTCATTGTACTCTTAATTTAGAGATAAGAAGTACAAACCTCTCAATTATATTATTTTCTACTTCTTGTTTAGTTCTTTTTTCCTTAAACTTGTACCAAAATACGATCATCTATGTGTTTGTTCCTTTAATAGCAGCATTGGTACTGTGTAATGCTACAACTCCATTGTATATTCGCATTTCATTTTGTCATTTAGGGGTATATATTGACGAGGAAGGTTTAAGTGACATTAGTGGGCAATGTCTCGTAAAATTGACGGTTCCTACCGCTCCTAACCTCCCCGGTAAACCCCCTCACTCGGCCCCGACCCGAACACACTCTCCACCCACCCATTTAATTGCACTTCACAAACTGATTTTGACTTGAACCTTGGGGTATATTGACATTCTTCAACATTATAGGTCCTATTTTCATATTAAAAATTGAAAGTTTTATTTTCTATACTCCGTATAAAGCATAGTTGAGTAATTCCCCCCTTTTTTGTACTCCTAGAGTGTAAAACCTGTTCAGATTTAAGGTATTCTTCTAATCATAATAATCTTAATGTGGAATCCTATTTTCGAATGTCTGAAATTTTTAGGATAAAGTTATTTATCCACAAAGATTTCTACCGCATTTTTTACACCCCAGGAATGCATCAACATGTTGGTGCGATCGTTTTGGGCAGGGCAACTCATTTCTCAGCTCAATTTGACGTTTTGGAAGCTGGATTGGGCAAGAATCGCAGGTCAACCCTCACGGGTCACTGTTCACCTGCGACATTTGAATGTTGAAATCACCTCGGTTCAAGCTTGTTTGAAGGCATATTTTTGGGGGATTATGGGCGACATGGGATGCTCTCTCAACACCTTAGATTGGATTTCCATTCCAATTCAAAGAGATTGTGATTTGAGCAAAATTTGGGTTCTTCGTCACTTTTCACAGCGCTGAATTGAACCCCAGGTTTACCCATGTTTCTGGCTTGATTTTTCTCCCATTTTTTGGTACTGTGGTCGTGCCTTAAAGGCCTTTAAACATATGGTGTTGGATTTTTGATTCACACAACTTGATTTGGTCTCATTCATTTTTGTTGCTCGAGTTACTGTTCATGTTCTTGGTTTATCCTGTGTAGAGTGCTCTACTGGTCTGGGCTGTATTGGGCTCGTTTTGCTTGCTGTTTGAGGGTATTACTGATTGAATGAGGGTATATTTTTGCTACTTAACTTTAAAAACGTGTGAAAAATTGAAAATGGTGGCCTTCCACACGGTACTATTGCCTATTTTTTTTTTTTGAATGCTACTATTGCCTATTATTACGGTGGCTGTAGCACAAGTTTAATTAAAATTGTATGAAATCAATTGTTTTTCCCTCTATTCTTTTGGTGACTAGCTTCATGTGCCAACATTGAGGTTGAGCAGCAGGCAACAGCCCAAAGCACAATCATTACCAATTGCAATGTAACAAAGCTAAAGAGAAAAGAATCAGCTAAGATGGGAGACTACCTGAATAAGCTGCTCAGCCGTTTGAACTTGAGGTGATGCCCCTTTAATTTCAATAGTAGGCAATTGGTACTGATTTTGAGGTGATGCCATGATAAGGGTTGATCGGCAGACGACGAGGTGACGGCCGCTAAGGTTGTTGTACGTAACCAAAGAAAAGCTAGAGAGAAGATTTTACTATAACTATTCTAATTTTCTTATTCCATGCCTTGCTTGATAGATTCGAGACATATTTATAGGAAATAAAGAAAACCCTAATCCTACCCTGTCGGTTCAAAAAAGGCGTCAAGGGAAAGAACCGAAAAGAAAACCTTTGAAGGAGCTTATGGTCTTGCTCACCTAAAAAAAATCTAGAATACAAATAATTGATTTAAATAAATGAATAAAAATAATAATTAACGACAAAATGGTGATTAATGACGAATATAATCCGTGTATCGTTGGGGTGGCCCAACGACCCTTTGTGACCGTCGCACCACCGTAGGAGCGACAGGCCCAGCTTGTTCCCTGCGGTCCGAGTCCACTTGATCCGTATCAACTCCCCCACCGTTGGAAAGCGCCTTGTCCTCAAGGCGGAGGGTGGGAAAACGCTCACGAAGCATACTCACGGGCTCCCAAGTGCCGTCGTCCTCGGGCCCCTCTGACCAATGAATTAACCACTGCTCTTCCGGTGCTCCGTTGACGAGTACTGTCCGACTACGAATAGCGGCCAAGGGAACGGCTACAGGACGGTTCTGGATGAAGTCAGTAGGCAAAGTAGGGGCTGGAATTCCCGTGTCCCGGGCCACGAACGGCCGAAGAAGGGAGACGTGAAACACGTCGTGAATGCGACAACCTGTTGGGAGACGTAGACGATAAGCGACAGGTCCAACACGCTCAACAACTTCAAAGGGGCCGTAGTAACGCCGAGCCAACTTAGCCGATTTGGGTTTAGCCACCGAGTGTACGTTGGCGATATGGTTGGAGTTTTAAAAGCACCAAATCACCTACTTGAAATGTCACATCACGCCGGTGCGAATTAGCGCGATCCCTCATTCGTTGCTGCACTTTGTGAAGGTTAGTCTTGAGTTCATCCAAAACAGCTGCCCTTTCGATCAATAATTCCTCGATTGCCGGCACCTTTGAACGAACGGATAGGGTGGCAAACAGATGCGGGGGTTCCCGGCCGTAAAGGGCTTGAAAAGGGGAGATTTTGAGACCATCATGGTGGCTGCAATTGAGGGCCAGCTCTGCCCAAGGTAGTAGCGTCGCCCACTTTGCCGGTCTGTCAAATGTAAAAGCCCGTAGGTATTGTTCGAGCCCTCTGTTCATGACTTCTGTTTGCCCGCCAGTCTGGGGGTGGTAAGCCGTGCTGAATTTCAGTGTTGTGCCGCTCAATTTAAATAATTCCTTCCAGAAAAGACTCATGAAGATTGAGTCCCGATCAGATACGAGGTCCAAAGGAAACCCATGATGCTTCACAACCATATCAAGGAAGAGGGCGGCCACGCGTGGGGCGTCAAAGTCCGTAGGTAAAGGGCCAAAGTGACAATATTTTGACATCCGGTCGACCACCACAAGGATGACCGTGTACCCACGCGAGGGAGGGAGGCCGGTGATGAAGTCCATTGAAGCAGAGTCCCATACGCGGTCAGGTACGGGTAATGGTTGAAGGAGACCCGCCGGTCGATGCGTAGAATACTTGGTCGCTTGACATGGGGCTTATGCTGCGATAAATGCTCGCACATCCTTACGCATACCTGGCCAATAAAACACCGCCGCCAATCGCCGAAAAGTCCGCTCAACCCCTTGGTGTCCTGCGATTGGAGTGTTATGAAATTCACCCAAAAGCTGGTCTCGTAGGGCGGAATCTGGGCTGATATAAACTCGTCGGTTGTAGTAAAGAAGGCCGTCCTGGATTGTGAACGCCGGAGCAGTTGTGCCGGCCGTAACACCTGCTTTTAAGGTCAACACATCTGGCTTAGTGTGATGCTCCATACGCACTGCATCCATTAGGATAGGAATGGGCTGGGAAAGGGCAGTAAATTGGGCAGCATGCTCATCTGCTGTGTCACGTCGTGACAGTGCATCCGCGGCCCGATTAGAGACCCCGGTTTTGTATTCAATGCGGAACTTGAACCCCATGAGCTTCCGGATGTAGAATTGCTGGTCTAGCGTTTGGATAATTTGCAACAACAGATCTTTGAGACTACGGTGATCGGTGCGGATAACGAATTCACGGCCGAGCAAATACTGACGCCATTTTTGTACGGACTCCACAATGGCGTACAATTCCTTATGATACGTAGAAGCCGCGCGGCGCCGTGGTCCCAGTTTCTTGCTAAAGAAGGCCAGGGGGTGACCATCTTGCAAAAGGACGGTACGGCGGAGGGCGCCGTAGGTCGTCATGGGGCAGCGGATGTGCAACTGCCAATAGTTCCGCCACCCGACCCTTGGTGGCATCTAATTCTTTGGCGATCTGGGATTTGGTGGTTTCCAACTCCTTTCCCAGGTTATTGATTGCCTGCATGAGGTCTGCCATAGTAAGGGAAGTGCTGGACGGCTGATCATCGGAGGAGGAAATTGGTGTAGACATGAGGTCAGGATGAAAGCACCAGATGATAAGGGTTGATCGGCGGACGACGAGGTGACGGCCGCTAGGGTTGTTGTACATAAATAGATTAGCGAACCGGGTTGCTACTAAATTGGTAACCACATACAATATTTTTCATTAATTAAAAACATTTTATTTAAAACTAAATAATACAAACCATTTAAATACATATCAGAGTTTATACAAACAGTGCGGAAGCTTTATAATTACATCAAACATTATTAAATCCCTGCATCCGTACGTCTCCTCCGTCGCGCTGCCCTCCAGGACGTATTTCAAGGTCAACCCCTCCATGATTACCTACGTGTAACAAGGGGAAAAAGAGGCTACACGCTCAGCAACGAAGCTGAGTGAAAAATATCTAACAGTTCGAACATACACATATGCGAACCCACTAATTCACAATCATAACATGATATCATGCACATAGGTTTAATATCATGCAGTTCACATAGACAATTCATCATATAATTTACCTGGCACCTGCCCTTTTACATTCTTATCAAAACGAAGCATCTCTTGCAGTGGTAAATCACCAGTCATCTATACTTGAACTCTACACTAGACTAAGGACTTACTATTTTTCTGGGAGTCATGATTGTTCCCACTGGATCAGCGGATCATGCTCGGCAAACGAGGGAGTTCTCACTGTTGGTGGATCACCAAGAACTTGTCCCTATTAATTATACTAATCTAAGGACTATAACTTTACTGTATGGGAGACATGAGGGTTCCCACTGGATCAGCGGGTCATGCTCAACCAACGAAGGAGTTCTCCGTTGGGTGGGTGGATCCCCACCTGATGGATCACCAGGCAATTCAAGGATACCTGTACGTACGTTTTTACCCGGTTCGACTTAACCATTGGAGCCCAACAGGCATCCACCTGGTTTATACTCTTAATTTCCTATATTTATGTCAGTCCCAAAGTTTCCCTCTGTGTAGACTTACCTTATCAAACGCGTTGGATCAACACGCAGTACCTGTTTGCTGTGTGCTGGATCAGCCCACTCATACTTGCAGTATTATATCCAAACACATGTATTTCACATAATCACACATGTGTTGGATCACCATAATAATATTAATTCACATAAGTGTTGGATCAACACAAAGCAATCACAATCATAACACAAAGCGGCCTAGAATTGGGTATTGATACCCAAACTTACCGTCATAGAACACATAAGGTCTCGGAATCAATCCTTGAATTGACGAAAACACAAAACGACAGACCCAATTTCAGGTACCAGACGGTACCCTTTCACGGTACTGGGTACCGTCCTCACGGTACCTAGGTACCGGTCCTACGGTACTGGGGTACCGTCCAAACTATATGACTCTTTCGGTAGAACTGCCACGGTAGCCGTCTACCGATTGGGGCGGTAGGGCCTACCGTCCGCCCAATACCTAGGTACCGTACGGCCGCAGCTACCGGCAGAGGTAGAAGAATCAACAGAGAGTGTGACGGTAGCACGGTACCGTCCCGGCGGTACTGCCTACCATCTGACACAACAAATTCCACCTTTTTTTTACCTGTTTCGTTTTCCAACGTCAAACCTCATAGCAATAAACACCAATTAATTCATATTACCATTCTAATTATTATCAAGCACATTATTTCATCAATCGGCACCTAAATCATGCATACTACCCTTTTCAATCGGTATAGTATCCGAAACCACCATCAAACAGTTTAGTCATGTAATTCACGCAGATCAATCACGATAATAATTATGAACATAATTTCAAACATATATGCACATTCTAGTGTTAGATGTCCACGTACTCACCTCGTTGGTTCGATTCATTTGAAGGAAATGTCACTCGGGGCCGGTCACCCAAATTGGTCGTCGAAACTGCCCCTGTTGGTCAAGGTCTAAACCTGCCAGTCGCTGGAGGTCACTCGCCAGAGAAACACCATGACTGGAAGTTGTTCGCCAGAACAGAGGGCCGCCCGCTGCTGACCCGCCGTCGCCGGAACAGGGGTCGCTGGACAGGGGGGTCGCCGGCGAAATTCGTCGATGGTCCACTGTGGTCCGTCACCGACGTCGCCGCCGGAACTCGCTGTTGGATTGAGCGATGTCGCGTCACTGATTTGCCGGAGAAGAATTTGTTGGTCTCCACCTCGCCACTGCTGAGGTTGTTTGATGTCGGTCGCAACTCTGCTCCGGTCGTCCTCGTCGAAGGGTTGTCGCCGCTGGTTTGGCCCGTCACCGCCATCGTTCGGCGACTCTCAATCGAAGAAGAACAAGGGCGGCGTTGCTTCTGCTATCGCTGACTTGACGAAGAAGACCGAGAGACGGCGTTGTGGATCGAAGTAGGAAGATGCGGCGTAGGAGGAAAATATCTATGTATTTACCTAGGGTTTGGGTTTGTGCTCCGTAATTTAAAATAGCCTGTGTGAGTGAAACCCACTTTTGAGGCCAACTTGCTCCGAATTGAGATCCGTTCACGTCGTTGGATTCGATTTGTCGATCCCTACCCAACTACATTACTTTTATTTTTCGAATGACAAACATTTATACGTTCCACTTGACCTGTCTTAATTTTTTCGATTAATTAGTACCGATCAATCTTTTACTTTAAATCTTTACAAATATAATCAGATCAGTTTCATTATATTGAGATGATTAAGTCTCTAAAGTACCTTTTAATTCTTTAAAAGAATAGATTGTCCTAAATAAATAATTCTTATTTATTTAAATATTAAATAACTTCTAGACCGGTTTCTAAGCGTTACAAGCCCATTAGGTCAATTAGGGTTTTCTGCGTCTTTATATATTGTAACTTTTCGTTATTATTATTCAATCAATCAATAATCAAGAATTCTCTTAATCTCTCGTCTCTCTTTTCTCTAGAGCTCGGAAATGCTCAAAATTTTCCTTCTCTCCTTACCTTCTCTTTCTTGGAGCCCGAAGACGCTCGAAATTCTTCTCTATCCCGATACGAATCATACAAGATTCGTATCAGAGAGTTTTTGTTCTTGAGTGGTTAAGTGTAGTGAACACTTTAAGGGAGGTTCGTTCCCTTGGTTGTACGAAGGAAGGGCATATTCCTTCGGGTTGAAATCTTGGAGTGCAGTATCTCCGAGCAAGTATATTGAGGCTCGTGGGACTCGAGTTCTCAGGTTGTAATGGTTTATTAAGCACCCGTAAGCTTAACGGAAGTAGTGTAGCTCGAGAGAGTCTCTCGAGAGGCTGGACTAGCCACACGTTGTGGGGAACCAAGGTAAAATCAGTGTGTTCTTTCCTTTTTGCTTTTTCATTCCGCTCTTTACTTTATCCCTGGAAATGTTATTCCGCAAAAATTTATAAACATTCCGGTGCCTCACTATTCACCCCCTGTAGTGAAGGTAACTTATTCTAACAAGATTTAATATCAACCGTAGATCATGATGATGTACTCAAAAATCAATGGCTCACACTGTGAACGGATGGAAGAATTCCTTCGATTTTCCTTCTTCAAATCTTACCGCATTTTTTATTTATTTCCTCCTTTACGTGTAGATTAATGTAATATATTATTTTCCTACTTTCATTACTTAATTCGTTGATTTTGGCTTTACATTCTTACCATTTTGTTCATTATTACTGATTTTATTCACAAAAATGAAAATAAAAAATATCAAAAAACAATATAATTCACATTTTTTATTTCCTACTTTCATTACATAATTTGTTTTAATCACAAATATGGTAAGAAAAATAAAAACCAAAAAAAGTGTACGGATGGAAAGAAAATAGAGAATCCTTTGGATTTCCTTTTTCAAATCTTACCATTTTCAATTTATTTCCTCCTTTAGGTGTAGATTAATGTAAGATTTATATCAACCGTAGATAATGATGATGTACTCAAAGATCTACGGCTCACAATGACATGCAATTGGGCGGGAAATACAATGGTCCCTTTTTCCTCTTCTTTTAAGAATAGGATGGATTCTTTATACTCCCTCTCTCCCATAATACCCTTCTTTATTTGAAAAAGGCATACCTTTAAAATGAGTAATTTTAATTTGATGTTATTTTTCTAATAATAACTAACTGGTCTAGCCTAAACATTTGCATCATCTTACTCTATTATAAAGTCAAGGAAAAATTAGAAAATAACACTAAATAACTCATTTTCAAATATCATTTTTTAAAAACAAGAAAGGTTTTATAAGACGGAGAGAGTATAATTTTGTGTTATCAAATAAAGGATTTGGAATTATAATATAATTCTATATTAATTTCTTAATATTAAAAAAATTAAATTTGGAATTAAATTAGAATTCAATTTTATACAATTTAATTCTATAAAATATCTTTTACCATTTAATAAGCAGAAAAAATAAGTTGAACAAAATGCTACCGTATTCTTTATCAACCCTAGGGTAACAAACAAAAGTGCCTTGAATTAATTGTAGAGTATGTTTATTATGAAGTATATTTCACATATGACCCATCCATTACAAATTAAATTTCTTGGTGTAACTTTCATGGAGTTAACAAAAAATTAAATTCATGGTGGAAATTATGCAAAATGAGAGACAAAATAATGCAAACCAGTCAATACTTAACAACTTTCAAATTAAAATGGTGAAAATTTTATTTGAAACAAATGAAAACCAAAGTGAAAAAATTTATTTTAGGATGAGTACAATTCAGATCAGGCATGAATATGAGCCCTTTCGTTTTCTCCTCATTATATATATATATATATATATATATATATATATATATATATATATATATATATATATATATATATATATATATATATATATATATATCTTATTTTTTAGTTTTGTAATCTTTTTGTTTGTTTGTACTAACACTTTTTCAAGACTTGTATTCATCTCCTAGTATCCGGTCAGTCACAAATTTTGCACGGCTTCTTGACAATGACTAATGTCCATTCCATTGTAAGAAATTAGGGCATACATCCAAAGATCATCTGAGCTTAGTAACTGCAAGATTAAAAAGAATGTTTCATTAGTTACTAATGGAAAAGAATTCCACCTACAGGTTCGACTTGGAGGTAAAATTAGATTCATGGAGAATGGAATATAAGAAAGGTATAGAGCTTTAGAACACAGAACTAATGGTGTTAATGGCTAGGTTAAGCTTGAGGGTAGGGTTCTAATGGGTTCCCCCTCTATTTATAGTGACACAGGATAAGCAATAAATAAGGTAATTAGATCGTGTATTGAAGCCACAACCTCATCGTGCCCTAACCGCTCCTCCTTGTCTTTGGCTGCGCTACAAACCTGGACCTGTATTGTGTTGAAACACGGGTTTACCATGTTTTCATACTAAAACCGTGTTTGTTTTTATGACAGGTTTTGATAATGCCAAACCACCGTGAACGAGACAAGTCATTGAATATACAAGACGAGAACCAAAGATGAGAAGAAAGAGAGCAAGAGTTAAAAGAGACCTAGAACGAAGACCATAGTCTATAGTATCGTTGAGTCGGTCACAATTGTGATCAAGACCGACCCAACCTTCACACCTTGGCTCTTTAGGCTAAAATCTTTTATTCCATTTCTTATATCATAAAAAAGTTTTCTTAACATTTTTAATAAATTAAAAACACTTGGTATTAGCCCAAACAAAAAATCAAGCCATTCGGCGTTCGGCTTTCAGAAACTGGCGTTCGGCTCGGTTATCGTCATTGGTTTTTGGCATCCGAACCAACCAAGTGGTTTTCAACATTTTATGACTGGTATTTACATCTTGGAATGTTTAAACAGATCTCCAACAAAAACACTTTGAAAAGCACCTTTCATTTTTGGTCGTTTGGCAAAAACCACGCAAAACGGCATAAACTTGGCTAGCCATGATTTTTACTCAAATGACGTGGTTTTTAAAGTGTCTCACTTGATTTCTTAGCCAAAAACATCAAATAAGTGTTATAAACACTTGATTTTTATTTTGGAGAACTTTGGATCTTTCGGTCGGTTTTTGCATCGGTTGGCTAGGCCATGGTTCAGGAAAGAACCATGGGTTTTTGACTAACCATCCACCCAGCGATGGGAAGAGTTACCCATTGATGGGTAAGCAGACCTTTAGCCCAACTGAGTTCCAGAACCATGCCAAGCAGCGATGGGAAGCTCTACCCATCGCTGTTAAAGCCTTGGTCCAACATTGACACAAGGCAAAATGACCTTACCCAGCGATGGGGACTTTTACCCATCGATGGGAACCCAGCGATGGGAAGGCATACCCACGCTGGTTAGGCATGACCGTTGTAAGTCATTTAAGGTTGATTCTTTCCTTGTTTAGAAGTCAACCTCCCACCAGCAATGGGAAGCATGTATCCATCGATGGGTAGGTGTTCGTTGGCTAGGGGTGGGCGCGGTCCGTGATGGTCCGTGATACTACTGGAACCTATCACGGACCGCTATTATTTAAACGGTTCGGTATCGGTACAGGATGAACTCCAAAACCATTCGGTACCATTCCGTTTTGAAACGGAACGGTACAATACCATACCCATGCTCAAATCGTGCCAAAAAATGAGCGTACATTACGTAAATAATATTAAATTTAATGTATAAATATGTATAAAAAAGCACAAGAATGTTAAATAAAAGTATTGATCTCGAATTTAAACGAAACATAAACATAAAGAAATAAAAGATAACGAGTCCAAAGTTAAAAAATAATTTTTTTCCAATTCATATAATATCGGAATACTAATAACTATAAAAAAATAATGCTAATAGTAATAATAAATATAATGACAACAATAATAATGAGAGAGTTTAAAAATGAATAATAAAATACAAGGTACTCTATACACGGTAAGATGAAGTAGACACATACTTCATAATTATTTGAGATATGTACTCCGTATATAGCGTTGGCGGTTCGGTCCGTGATAATCGGTTTTAAATATTTGTATCACGGTCCCATCCCATTTGGTATCGGTTCGGTTTCGGTTTGTGAGGAAAAAAATCATCCCGTTTGAAAACACTATAAACGGTTCGGTTCCATTACGGCCCGGTACGGTACCATGCTAGTTCGGTTTTTTTGCCCACCCCTATCGTTGGCTTCAAAATTGAAGAAAAATTGGCTTACTAGCGATGGGTAAGTCCATACATCGCTGGGAAGCCAATATCCTGCAGATCCACTTTTTAATCAATCTCATAAATCAAGTCAATCACCCCTTTAATGCCTTGGTCCGTTGGAGCCTATTTTGGCACTATAAAAAGGGGTGTTTGGGTCTGCTTTACACACCAATTCACTTCACAATATTCATACTTTCATTGCATTCAAATGAGAATGATGCATAGTGAAAGAAATAAGAATGCATATAATCCATTAAATTTAAGATCTATGGGCTATTAAAAATAAAAAAAATATAAAAAATTGAAAAAACCGCGGTGGTAATTCTGTAAAGGTATCAAACTTTTCCACCAATGCTGAAAATGCATACAAGTTGAAAATTCATCGTGGTAGCCGCAAAATGCTTTCAAATCAAAGTTATTTTGGAGTATACAAAATACTTCAATCGCATAAGGCGTTAATCAACAACAAGAACTTGAATTCCAACCCTCAATCCATACCACGAGACTCTATTTTTAGAGTAAAAAATTCATAACCGGACATGAACATTCGCGTAGATGCGTACTTTAACGCGGAGAGGAAGAAACGCGCGAGAAGAAGGAAGGGTTTAAACGAAAGGTCTCGTGCGGTTTTAGGGTCTTATTCAACGTTATCCGCTCGTTCGAGTCCTTTATTGTTTTGGACTTCGATCATGAAAATCTTAAGGATTTTCATCAAGAAACAACGCAAGGGGCTGCCGCCCACGGGCCCCCACTATCCTGGGGCCTGCCACCCCAGATCACTGCTATGAACTTATAATACCATTGAACGAGCGTGCACTCCGCACCTCCTAGCTCGTTTCACAACGTTTATTTAAATTCTTGTCCGATCTTAGTAAATCCACTCATACAAAATAACCGATGATACTAAAATCACCAACACTTTATGTAAGTGTCCATTGCATATATATATATATATATATATACATACATACATACATACATACACATACATACATACATACATAGATATATATATATATATATATATATATATATATTGAAAAGAACCATATATATATATATATATATATATATATATATGTATGTATGTATGTATATGTACATATACATACATACATACATATATATATATATATATATACATATATATATATATATACATACATACATATATACACACACATATTTGAACAGAAGAATGGATATGTAAAATGCATGTAATGGGTATTCAATTCTCGGAGAGCTTTGCAATAAATAAATAAAGTTACTTCTAGAGAATAGAGATTAGACTATTAGAGAAATATAAAATTCCAATTACACACCTTAATTTGAAGCTGCAGAAATTTGACATAGTGAACGGCCTCTTCAAGCATGGTACTAATGTCGACCTTTGTTCCATTTGGGACGAGGTTCTGCAAAATTCTCAACCTCTCGTTGATTTTCTCTCTTCTCCTCTGCAAAAACAACATTTTTCTGCAATACTCTCCAAAATTTTTCTTTTTATAGACTCATGAATCAATTTTATAATGAGACTTTATTCAATTTTTTCAACTTTTTCTAATTTCAAAAAATAATACAGCTATGTGCCTATAATTAAATACAAGTGTTTAAATATCCATCCATAATTTTCATTTCGCTTTTAAAATGTGAGGTATTCTCAAATACCCTCCATCATATAGACAAATGAGTGATTTTGTGATACAGATAGTTAATTAAAATATTTTAATTAGTTATATTATTATTTAGTAGTTATTTATTATTAGTAATAAATACTCTATAGATTAGGGTTTAGTACGGGCTCGAACCCATTAGGTCAACTAGTGTTGTTTTACTTTTTATATATTGTAATCATTCCGCGTTGTTTAGAAATCAATAAACAACTCAAAACCTTAATTCACTCTCCCCTCTCGGTTCGCCAATTCCCTCTTCACCTCAATTCTTCTTCTTTTTCCTCGTCCCATATTCTCAAGAGCCCGAAGACACTCTGAGTCTTCTCTATCCGATACGAGTTCTTATATCGGTGGTTCACTTACAAATGAATGTTTTTCCTTTTCGTATGGAAGTACTATTTTAGTATTTTTCAATATTTAACTCTTAGATTACTATTTTTTCCTAAGATTATTATTCCATGTTGTTATAACTTTGTATGAAAATATAAATTTATATACTAAAAATGAGTAGTTAGAAAAAAATAGCTATACCATTATTTTTCATACTATTAAAGTTTATAGCTTTACAAAACTCTTACACTAGTTGGTCTGGTTTGACCCATTGTAGCAGGTCGTTTCTGGTCAGTCAACAAAGTCTTTGTTCAAATTTAAATTCATTATTTTCCGATTGGATCTTGACATAAAAACATGTCAGATTATTTTTGTCTATTCCTAAGCATCTGTTAAAGCTAATTTGTTAAAAACCTAATGTGTAAGGCAGCGTTCCCTTCAATTTATTTTATTTGCTTATTATTTATTCTTATTAAAATCTGATCAGATCTAATCAAATCAGATCAGACTAGATTAGATCATACCAGATCTAAACAAAATTAATATTATTAGTATTATTATGATTATTATTATTGCATTTACTATTACTATTACTATTAATAATATAATTATAATTATTATTACTATTGTTATTATTATTACTATTTTTATTATTACTATTAATATTAACAAGAACATTATTGTTACTATTATTATTATTATTACTATTATTCTTATATTTATTATTATTACTATTACTATTACTATTACTATTACTATTATTACTATTATTATTGCTATTATTATTATATCTATTATTATTACTACTATTATTATTACTAACTTTAATATCTGATCTGATCAGATTAGATCAGAGCATATCAGTTCAGGTCATATCAAAACTTCAAAAACTCAGATCTGATGAGGCAAACATAACGCAGCCTAAATACTTTTAAATTTGTCATAATTTAGAAGCTGAAAGCATGTATTTTTAGTTTTTCTAGAAAGTACTTCTAAACCTTAATTTTAACTTCTAAAGACATACTTCCTCGGTCCCCCAGTTTTTGTCCACTTTCTTTTTTACACATCATCTAATGCACTTCTTTAATCCATTTTATCTTGTAATTTGTATATTAAAAAATTATAAAAATTATATGTTAATAATCTATATGTTAATACAAATCAAACAAGATCACACATGACTATATATAGGCTTACACATTGAGAGAATTTGATGAGTCAAAGTGCTTAAATGAATAGTTCCAAAAGTCAAAAGTGGACAAAAACTGGGGGACGGAGGGAGTAATTTATAAGCTAAAACAGATTAGCAAACATTTAAAATTTTGTTTTAGTAAAGTAGAAGCTATAACTTATTTTCAAATGCAAAACCAAACACCCTCTATATAGGCAGTGGTCTCAAATTTTTAGGGATTATACCACATGTGCAATTTAGACAATTTATTAAACATGCTCAAATAAGGCCTTAAAATTTTTGTTCAGGCCGACCCTATGTTTTACACTTTAAGATGAGAACTGAAGAAACAAATAAAAGTATGACTGCAATTTAAAGAAGTTAGTGTGTACTAAATTAGTTACCCTGGCATACAAGCTTTGGGGATCCGTGGCAGACCCTCTAGTAGCCCTTGATTTTGCTTTTGAATTGGAGGCATTCATAATAAGGTCATCTTGATGATCACTGCGGCTACAGCTTGAATTTTGTGCATTCCCTTCCTCTTGATCTTCATCTCCATTTTCAAGGTTCTTCTTTGAAATGTGGAGTGCTGTTGTTTTGTTTTTCTGTGCCTGCATTATATATATTCGGCCATTACTTCTAGTAAAGGATTGAAATAAAAAAGACCGTCATCTTGGACCTGGAATGATGTTAAACTTGAAGAAGAAATAAACCGGTATATAAGCCCTCGAGTTGAACTAACTAATCAATTGGATTCAATCTTTTAGTGTGATTCAACCCAAGTGTCTTATTGCTCAATCCAGATGTCCATACCCCATCCTAAATTTTATCAAATGATTAAGACCAAATTGGTCCTAGAGATCTGTCTTTTGTTGGATGTTGATGATTTTAGTGTTATTATCTATTTTGTATAATTGAATTTACATAAATCTGAAAAAAGTTGAATAGACGTTGTCAAACGCGTTAAGTGGTGCGCAGTCAAGGCAAGGGTGGAAGAGGGGGTGGAGCACGTGCCCCTAGCAGAGCTCCGGTGAAGAGCTATCCAGGAACTGGCAATGTGTCGCGACCGGGGGTGTGCCCCCTCTGGCCATTGCGGCACATCGTGACTCTTTAGTTTGCATCCCCTGTTCAACTTTTTATTTTTGTTTCAAGTTTTATTTCAGTGGTTTTAACTTTTAATAGCCAAAACGACGTCGTTTTGATTTATAATTTTTAAAATTTATAATACAAAAACGACGTAGTATTAATATACTTCATCCGTTCTTGAAAATACTTTCCATTTTGATCAAATGCCAAAATAAAAAAATGTTATATTGTAGTTGAATTCCAATTTTATTCTTGATATGGTGAGTAAAAAAATAAGATGTAATGAATAAATTATTAAAGAAAAATATGATGTGATAGGTAAGATAATAAAAAATAGGAGTGAAGGTGATTTTGAAAAGAGAAGGGAAGTGCATTGATAGAGAAAAAAATAAAAGGGGAAAGTGTTTGAAAAATGGAGAGGGTATGATTCTAAGATCCTTATCACGGCTGAAGGCAAACACCCGACCACCCAGGCGCTGACGTTTCACGAAGCTGGGCACGCTCCCACCGCCCACCAGGCCACCACTCTCCGCTCCTACTTCTTGTCTATTCTGGTACTTTTTTTGTTTAAAAAAATTTAATTTATATTCTATTAATGATAATCCGATTGGTATTTTTATATTCTCTGATTTTGTTTTCATTCTTTTGTTTAATTAATCTGATTATTATTCATAAAATCATTTTTTCAAAACTAAGTTAATACGGAGTGTTCAATTACATCACTTGAATACTTGTTTTGTCTTGAATTAAATTGATCGGTTTTTTTCAAAAAAAATGATGGGGTTGTTAAAGTTCAAGAAATTGGTAAAAGAAAATAATTTCGTGTAAGTAATTAGAATAATGATTCATTTATATTACATTAATAAAACCTGAAATTAGAAGGTTAAAAATTACAAGAATAGAAAATAGAAGCGAATTTGTAGTGTTTGAATATTCTCAATTCCAATTATTTAAATGTTTGTTTGAGATAAAATTACTTCTTTCGTCTCACAAATGAGTACATTTTTTTTAATCAATACTACCCGTGTCTAAGAATATTTGTCCATGTTTGACTTTTTTCAGTCTATGTTTTTTTATCTTTGACCTCTATAATTAAAGTAAATAGTCCCTCCGTCCTACAAAACCCTTTTTCTTCCATTTTTTTATCTGTCCCAAAAACCTCTTCTCCTCTCTATTAAAAAGTCATTTTTTACCCTTATTAATTCTTAACCTACCTATCACATCATACTTTTTCTCTATTAATCTACCCATCACATCCTACTTTATCTATCACATCAAAAGGCATTTTTGAAGAGTGAACACTAAAATACACTCCTCTTAAATCCTTTAAAAGTTAAAATGAGAAGTTTTTTGGGGGACGGATGGAATATATATTATATATTAAGTAGATAAAATATTATTTTTTTAAAAAAAATTATATAATAAATCTAATAAAACAATTTTTGTATCAATATCTAATACTCTCTCCGTCCCCCATAGATCTTCCCGTTAGGCCTTTTTATTTGTCCATCATAGATCTTCTCATTACCTTTTTTAACAATTAAACTACCACAACTACCCACACTTACTTTATTTATTACACCTCGCCTACCTCATTTAATACACTCCACCCATTTTCATTAAGGGTATTATGGTAAATTTTCACATTTTTTAAACTCTCCTTAAAAATCAGAAAATGTCAAAATGACAAGATATTAGGGGGACAGAGTGAGTATCATTTTTATTTAATTTAAGGTTCAAGCTTACCAATTTTGACTGAAAAAGTCAAGAGTGGAAAAGAACTCATAAACGAAGGGAGTATATTTGATGACTTGGTTTTATTTATGTATTTTTATTGATTATTTGATAAAAGACGTATAGTTTTGCCGTGTAATTCCCATATGCAACCTAAATTTGAACGGAGAGAGTATTAGTTTTTTTGTCATTTTGTACCCTAGCCCCATGCACTATTTTTGTGCCCTCCGGAACATGGGTGCTGGCTCCGCCACTTGATAAATTTGCAGAAGAAAAATATCATGATATTGAACGGTTCAACTTTCATAGTTTTTGTAAATTTTTTTTGAATTAGATGTATGATTGAATTTCTTTAAAGAATGGAAATTTAATTAATTAAAACATGGAGTACAAAATTTGGCAAAACATTGCCCCAAATACCACAATCCCTCACTCCACGTTTAGCTTATGCATGAGCAACCCCACTCAAATCATGACTGCAAATTCTATATGCCGGGTCTCGTATGGCCATCACTTTGCTGCAAGAGCCATGATTTTTGAAGATTCAAAGCATGGACTGCTCCTTTAGTTTAGCATTATCTCTCCAGTCCAGCACCACGAGTGGGAGCCTTCACCTTGAGGACAAGGTGGTTGTAAGGGAGTGAGAATGATACAGATAGTTAATTACAATATTTGAATTAGTTATAAGAAAAATTATCCAAAATAATCCCAACTTTACCCGGTCTTTCAAAAATAATCCCACCTTTCAGTGTCATGCATAATAATCCGAACTTTATTACTGAATTTTGCAAATTTTGGGTCGCCGTTAAGTTTCTAACATAGGGTTAACGTAAATGCCTGTTTTGGGCAACAAAATGAAAGTTGGGATTATTTTTTATGAATTTTGATTTTATTTTATTTTTTTTGAATTTTTCATTTAAATTTTTAAAATTACTTTCTACCTCCATCATCATTTCTCTTTCCTTTTTTAAAGATTAGTCTTAGTTTAAAAAAATAAAAATAATAGATATGAAAAAATAAAAAATTGAGAAATGTAACTAAAATGATACAAAAATAATAAAATAAATAAGGTTATCAATAGAAACTAACTTGAAATTGGTAATAAATAAAATAAAAATATACGGGTGGGTTTAAATATTTTACACACTATACAAAGTATTAACGTATCACTTCTTATTTTTTAGAAAAAATTATCTACAATAATTCCAATTAACTTTACCGCACATCTTGTTCTTTTAAAAAATAAGTAGTACATTAAGACTCCGTATAGTATGTAAAATGTTAAAACCCACCACTCATTATATATTTATTTTATTTCTTACCAGTTTCTGTTTAATTTCTATTGATTACATTATTTCTTTTATTAATTTTGTATGGTTTTAGTTATTTTTCTCATTTTCATTGTTTTTATATTATATCTATTTATTTTATTTTTTCTAAGGTAAGAATAATCTTTTATAAAAAAGAAAAAGAAATGGATGTTGAAAGTAATTCCGAAAATTTAAATAAAAATTTTAAAAAAATTTTAAAAAAAATTCATCAAAAATAATCCCAACTTTCATTTTGTTGCCTAAAACAAACATTTCGCTTAACCCTCTGTTAGAAACTTAACGCCGACCCAAAACTCGCAAATTTCAATAAAGTTGGGATTATTATGCATCACAGTGAAAGGAGATTATTTTTGAAAGGCCGGGTAAAGTTGGGATTATTTTGGAGAAAATCACTGAGTTGACCAGGCGAGTGCAGGAGAAAGGTGTGTGGGAATCGACCGGAGAGGCTACTGATATGTGGGTGAGGACTGCTAACTGCATCAGGGAAACAGCAGGGAAGTGTTAGGTGTGAGCTCTGGCTCTGGGAGTAGGCGTCAGGGTGATTGGTGGTAGAGCGATTCAGTCCGAAGTAAGGTGGAAGCTAAGAAGGTGGCGTATTTGAGGTACATGGGCTGCAATGTTGAGGAGGAAAGAGCAGCGTTGCGAGTGGAGTACAAAAAAGCACGTAAAGAAGCTAAGTTAGAGGTAACGAGAGCAAAGAATGCTGCTTTTGAACGCCTCTACAAGGATATTAAGGAGAAAGGCAGTGTTAATCCACTGTTTCGGCTTGCTAAGGTGCGTGAGAGGAAGGCCCGAGATCCAGATCACGTGAGATGCGTGAAGGGCATCGATGGTAGAGTGTTAGTTGAGACTGCCAAGGTGGCTAAGCGCTGGGGGGAGTACTTTAGTGAACTCTTAAATGCGGGAGGAGACCAGAGGCTAGTTCTTGATGAGTTGGGACAGCCCAGGGCGTCTCGTGTGTATTGCCGGCGCATTTGCCTCGAAGAGGTGGTTCGGGCTCTCCGCGGGATGCGTAGTGGGAGAGCTTTGGGACCAGATGAGATTCCGGTGGAGTTTTAGAAGCATGCGGGTCGTGGTGTGTGGGTTTGGTTAACCAAACTCTTCAATGTTATCCTTCGGACATCAAGGATGCCTAATGAGTGGAGGGAGAGTCTCTTAGTCCCTCTGTTTAAAGGCAAAGGTGACATTCAGAGCTACGAGAATTACAGAGGCATCAAACTGCTTAGCCACACCATGAAGGTTTGGGAGCAAATCATTGAGTATAGGGTGCGGAAAGGGGTTTGCATCTCTGAGAACCAGTTTGGTTTCATGCCTGGCAGATCGACTACAGAGGCCATTCATCTCGTGAGGAGGTTAATGGAAGAGTATAGAGCTAGGAAGAAGGACCTGCATATGGTGTTTATTGACCTTGAGAAGGCGTATGATAGGGTGCCAAGGGAGGTCTTATGGAGGTGCCTTGAGGCGAGAGGAGTTCCCATCGTGTACACTCGCGCGATCAAGGATATGTACGATGGGGCTATGACCAAGGTAAGGACTTCCGGGGGTGACTCGGATTCTTTCTCGGTAGGGATGGGGTTGCACCAGTGGTCTGCCTTTAGCCCTTTTTGTTCGCCCTAGTGATGGACGTCCTAACTCAAGGTGTTCAAGATAGGGTCCCATGGTGCATGCTTTTCGCGAATGATATTGTGCTTATCGACGACACACGTGAGGGACAAAACGATAAGTTGGAATTATGGCGCCTTGCCCTTGAGACTAAAGGATTCAGAATAAGTAGGAACAAGACTGAATACATGGAGTGTCGTTTCAGCGACCGGGATATAGAATCAGAGGTGGAAGTCAGGATTGGCTCTCACTTAGTACCTAAGGTAGACAGGTTTCGATATCTTGGCTCGGTAATCCAGGCTGATGGGGAGTTAGATGCAGATGTTGGACATTGTGTTGGAGTGGCTTGGGCCAAGTGGCGGTTAGCTTCAGGGGTGTTGTGTGATCCAAAGATTTCGCCTAGAATGAAAGGTAAGTTCTATCGATCCGTAGTCAGACCTGCTATGTTATATGGGGCTGAGTGTTGGGCGGTTAAGAAGACTCATGTGCGTCGTCTGCATGCGGCGGAGATGCGGATGTTACGATGGATGTGTGGGAAGACAATGTTTGATAGGATTTCGAACGAAGTTATCCGACGTCAGGTAGGCATGGCACCGGTGGAAGATAAGTTGCGGGAAGCGAGGTTGAGATGGTTTGACCATGTGAGACGGCGGGACCTTTACGGAGATGTGAGAGGATTACAATTATCGGGGGAAGTAGGGGAAGGGGTAGACCTAGGAAGAATTGGAAGGAGGTGATTAGGTAGGATTTAGGATTTCTCGACGTGACTGAGCATATGACACTAGATAGGAACCTTTGGAAAACTAGAATTAGAGTAGATGGATAGGAGCTCGGTGTTGTAGAGGTTGTTTTGTAGTATTATATTTGTTTGGAATCTTCTGCTATTGCTTGTACTTGTTGCTTGTACTTGGTGCTTTATATGTGTTTTACTGTGTTCCTTCCATATTTTTGTGCAGGTGGAGCCAGGGGTCTCTTGGAAACAGCCTCCCTACTTCCGTGTAGGGGTAAGGTCTGCGTACACACACCCTCCCCAGACCCTACTGTTGTGGGATTTACCTGGGTTGTTGTTGTTATTATTTAGTATTTATTTATTATTTGTTGTTTAGACGACGACTTAGAAGGGAATAAATTAAAGAAGTAAAGAAATACAATCTTTTATAATTGAACCAAATGCTCTAGGAGTAGATAAACACTCTAGTATGTTATGAACATTCTTTAAAATTTTATTACTCCTTTACCTCAAAAAACTTTATATTTCACTTTAATGTCTTAAATACATTATTTAACCGGCCAAATGGCTCCATTGACTCCTCTGCTTTGGAGTATTGGCACCAATACTACTTCTAGTCTCAAAACTTATTTTTAAAGTTCTCCTGATTTTAAACGTTTGCACCCCACACCACCTCTAATTATTTTCCAGTCATTTTCAAGTGAAGAGAGGGCATTAGTGCTGATTTTTTATCCATAGGGGGCACTCGGGTTTGTTTTTTGTGTTTATTATTTGGTTTTTTTCTTTCTTTACTCTTTTTTATCTATTTGTTTCTTTTTCTTAGAAAAGTTTTTTAAGTTTCTTTTTCAATTTTTATAATGTTTTAAAACTCTATAATTCTGTGTTTGAAATAAAAATAAATAAAATACTCCGTCCGTCCTATATCTTTCTTCCCGTTGCGCAAAACGAAGAAAAAGTCCAAGTTTTTTTAATCTATTTTATTTAAATATTGGTATAAAAATAAAAAATAAAACATACATATTTAAAAACTACATCAAAAGTTCAACAAAACAAGTGGTGACAAGAATATTTTATTTTATCATATAGGCCATGAAAAAACTCAAATAAATATAAATTCCCGTGAAGTTTGAATAGTGCTCTGGAAAGAAAGTTTTAGGATGGAGGGAGTATACTCTATCTATCTCAAATTAAACATTTTCACTTTTTGTTTTCTAGAAGTTCAAAAATAAAATTCAGAATAAAAAAATAAAAAATTCGGAAAAACGAGATGAAAACAAAAATGAAACATGCAAAAAAAAAGTCTTATACAAAAAGAAATTTCCAGGACGCCTAAAAAGTCTTTAGATTTGGGGCGTCCAAAAAAGATATTCAATTTATTTTTTCTTTTATTTTATTTGTTCTTTTATTCCTCATTTTTTGAAGTTCTGAAGAAAAGTTTTTGCTTTTTTATTTCTAAAAAAAATAAAAATTGTTAATTTGAGACGTATAGATGGAATATACTCGTATGTTAATTATTTTTTTTCAAGCAAATTTTTTTTTGAATATTAAGAATATTATAAAAGAAATTAAAACGAAATTTCAAAAACTTGATTAATTAAAGAAACAATAAAGAAAGAAAAGAGAAGAACAAAAATGAACGAAAAATAAGAAAAGAGCAGCAGTGCCTCCTATGATTTAGAAAATAGGTCCCAATGCCCCCTATGATTTAGAAAAAATAGCCCGAAAATGATTAGAGGCGGTATGAGCGTACCGTTTTGAAACCTCGAAGATTTTAAGATTAAGTTTTGAAAACAGGGAGTATTGATGCCTGTTTTCTAAAACACGGGAGGTACTATCTACGCCGTAGTTCTATACGATAACAAATACACCCTCCATCCCAAAAGCCTTTTCATCTTTGCTTTTTCACTTGTCTCAAAAAAACACTTCTTTAATTAATATTGATCACCTATTTTCCCCTAATAGTTATTACTATGTATTACTTATTCATTATTAATCAACAAAGCAATCTTATATATACCGTCTTAAAAGTAATTAAGAGGCGGCAACATGAGAAAGTCAACTACAAAATTCTCTCTCCTTAATTTTATGAAAAGTCAATATAAGAAGAGTTTTGAGTGAGGAAGTGAATATTATTATTAAATTATTACTCTCTCTGTCCCGGGGTATTCGTCTAGTTTTGACTTTTGGAACTGTTCATCTAAGTACTTTGACTCATCAAATTCCCTTATTGTGTAAACCTAAATATAGTCATGTGTGATCTTGTTTGATTTGTCTTAACATAGTAGATTATTAATATATAATTTTTTTAATATACAAATTACAAGATAAAATGGATTAAAGAAGTGTATTGGATGGTGTGTAAAAATGAAAGTGGACAAATACCCTGGGACGGATGTAGTAGTATATTTCAAAATTTTGCTTTTTGTTTTCAAAACCATTTTGACCATTTTAAATTTTTATCTCAATCGAACGAATACTTTTTTCTACCTATTATAATCAAAGTTTGAAAACTATGCCAATATTTTATTTTGTAACCGATGGAACATCAAAATGAAGTACATAGGAACTCACACGTGGCCAAACCCGAGGTTTTTTCATAGGATTTTGAGATGATGATTTGTTAGTGATAGCAGTCCCAAAACTCCTCTTGAGCTGTTTCACTTCCGGGTGTGAATCAACAATAATGGCTGTCTGAAGGTTAGAATTATTATTACCTTCACCAACATCTTGTCCCATAGCCGCCCTATCATCATGATAATAAAACGTTTGGACACCGCCTGATGAATGGCTATTATTCTCAATGTTCATCTTCATCACACCATCATCAATACTTTCGTATGATACATATCGCTGAAAGTGATCTTCAGTGTTGATGAGAACATCATCAGAAGAGCACGAAGAGTAAAATCTGCTGCCACCATTATTGAGAATGTCCAGAACTCCATTATCATGATGATGATGATGAGCACTCATGCGGCATTCTTGATCATTATCATAATCATCGCCCTTGAGTTGAATAAGCATGAAATCATCGTTTTCATGACTGCTTGATAACGTCTTGCTTATGGACTCCCACTCTTCATCAAAATATGTAGCTCCCACTCCAACAGGCTCCATTCTATTATATTGCTTGATTAATATCTAGCCTTTTTATGGAGTAATTATTTTATAGTAGTAGTAAAAAATGGAAAAGCTAGTATATATAGGTATTGGTAAACTCGTAGTAGTAGTATATAGTACTCCGGGTATTAGTTTAGTTGTTATAATATGATATTCCGAAATGAGCCGTGTAAATCAAAGAAGCTTTAATAATTATATGGTGTTGTAAGAGCAGAAAATTTGAGAGATCGGTCGATATATATTTATACCCCTAATCTAAAGTTCGGGTCGGAGGGAGTTGTTGGAGAGAATGTAATGCATGTTTTTTTAAGTGAAATTTGCACTAAATAGGACTAAAACATAATGACTTTTTTAATGTAGGACTTAAATTTTTTTATTCTCTAACTACGACTTAATAATGACCTTGTGAAAGGAATAATGTCCAGTAACGATGGACATTTAGTTGAATAATGACTACTTGATAATGACCAAAGGTCCTACATTGGGAAATAAAAACATATGGTCCTATATTGGGAAAATCATTATATTTTAGTCCTATTTAGGTAAATTTCTCTTTTTTTAAATGATGATTATTACATTTGACTGTATTTATTTATTGCATTACTCCGATTATTAAATTCGAATTGTTTTTTTAATAGTTGTGACTAGGGAACTGAACCCCCAACCCCTTCACAGTTCACAAATTAGATAGACATCCTTGTCGTGTACTTGCTCCCTCCTATTATTAGGTTGGCGTTTACCTAGTATTCCCTCCGTCCTGGAGTATTCGTCTAGTTTTGACTTTTGGAGTTGTTCATCTAAACATTTTGACTCATCAAATTTTCTCAATATGTAAGCCTAAATATAGTCATGTGTGATCTTGTTTGATTTGTCTTAACATATAGATTATTAATAAATAATTTCTATAATTTTTTAATATACAAATTACAAGATAAAATGGATTAAAGAAGTGTATTGGATGGTGTGTAAAAATGAAAGTGGACAAATACTCTGAGACGGAGGTAGTATTTTACAAAAAGAATATATATATATATATATATATGGGATTGACTCCGGTGAGATGACACATTGTGGTAAGATGACATGTTTCAGTGAGATGACGCTGGAGTTCATCATTCATCACTGCAAAGCTCACCACTGATCACTCCAAAACTCACCATTGTCCACTGCAAAGCTCACCATGATTTTCCAACACTTTACTTTTTAAAAAAAATTGATGGTTAAATGCTTACAAAGCCCAGCAACAAAGCTCACTAACTCCCATTGCAAAGCTCACCGAATATGTGCACAAAGCTCACTACACTTTAAAGTTTAAAATGATTTCAAAAAAATCAAAGGGCGGTGGTGCTGACTTCCAACCGCTGCAGACTACCACCGTGGACCGGTGGTTGACTTGTGGTGCAATTTTATTAGCTTTTTTTTTTTAAAAAGTGGTGAGCTTTGCATTGTTCCTTGGTGAGCTTTCCATTGCCAGTTGGTGAGCTTTGCATTGACAGTTGATGAGCTCTACACTTTGACCGCCCATGACTAATGGCCACCACTTATGACCTCCACTGTTACCGTGGACCAGTGGTTGAGCGGTGGTTGACTGGTGGTTGAATGGTAGTGCTATTTTTTTAATTTTTTTTATTTAAAAAAAAGTGGTGAGCTTTGCATTGGCAGTTGGTGAGCTTTGAATTGGCAGTTGGTGAGCTTTCCATTGGCCGTGTTGTGTGTTGTGTCATCCGATTGAAGCATGTCATCTTACCATAAGATGTCATCTAACTCGAGTCAATCCCTATATATATATATATATATATATATATATATATATATATATATATATATATATATATATATATATATATATATATATATATATATATATATATATATAGGTTCCGGTGAGAATGAGATCTTACGAAAGAAATAAGAATGATTGTAAGCCTTTGGATGGAGGCCTTTTGATTCGCATCACATAGGGGCATATGTGTATTTTCTTATTTTTCCCATTTAAGCTCCGCAAAATCAGCGCCGCAGGAAACCACATCTCTCTCCATTAAGGATTATTATTACAGTACAAAATCCCCAAATCAAGATTTTCATTTCCTTTTAGACCTCATATTTGTTATTTCACAACTTCAATTCTTTAGTGGATGTTCCTGATGGAAGAGATAAAAATTGCATCATTCCACCGAAAACAAACGACCCTTTGAATCGGACGGTGACGGCAATCGAGAGACTTCTTTGTTTGCCTTCCACTCCTACATGACTACATGACTAACTCTTTCATGAAACTTCTTTCTTCTTCTTTATTTGGTGTTACAATATTTATTTAATTAATAAAATAAATTTTTTTGATAAGTTTGCCTTGTTCTGCGTATGCTCAACAAATTCCTTCCGTTGTCACTGTTTCTAGAGACTTTTTTTAGATGGATTTTTATTTGTTTTGAATGAGAGTTCATGCCTGCCAATTTTATATTGTAAATACTTTCTACTCCATTTTACATTTCAAAGAGGAGCAACTTAATATATGATTGGTTTTTTATAATTTTTATCCCATATGTTTTGTTCTGGTTTTTTATAATTTTTATCCCATATGTTTTTTATCATTTCTTTATTTAGATTATATTTAATTTATGGTCAAAGCGTGTAACTATTTGATCAAAAATACATCCAAATGAGAATTTTTTTGTGGGGCGAAGGGAGTATTATATTTGCATATGCAATACATCGTGTTGTTTTTCTTTTATATGTGTATGACATAGACCACATTCTTATCCTTTTGTGAAGCATTTATGGGAGTAGATTATGTTAATTTTGCATTCTTGCTAGCTTATGTTAATATGGGGCCGGTTCAGGTGAGAATGCACCTTGGTGAAAGAAATAAGAATAAAATCTAACCTTTGAATCTGATGCATCGTGCGGCTCAGATTGCATCTTGCACTCAGATTTTGAGATAGTGCATTTTCAAAAGATTTTGGTGCATTTCGACATGATGTCCTTATCAAACTATTTTGGTGCACCTAATTTTGATGCAATCTTGACCCTTAGATCTCACGATCTAAAGTACCAAATTCATTCTTATTTCTTTTATAAGATCACATTCTCACCAGAACCAAAATCATGTTAATATGACCTGTCTTGGCAATGATTACTGTGAATACCTACTTATCTTTTTTGACTATTAAGATCACTCTACTCTCATATTGCATTCTTTTCTTTTGATGTTGCTTATTATTGTTCATGTGTTGGAATAGCATTTTTTTTTGATATTATGCACTATCAGAATCACTCTAATGCATTTGCATGAGAATGTAATGCATTCTCGTACACTAAAGTAAAACATATCCATTCTCTTAATCAAAGATAATGCATTGATGATAAAATACTCATTGCACAAATATGATGCACCTGTATATTTTATATAGTGCATTTCCTACAAATGATAATGCATTAAAAATGTTTTGTGACCCATTTTGAATGTCTTAGAAAGACATTGGAGGATAAAACTTTTAAGAGATTAAAATGTGTTTTAATACGTCCAAGTGAAAGGGGGAGAGTCTCTTTGAAAAAATAAGTCGTTGCCTATTAGCTCAAATGATAGAGCGGTATGTACTACAGATGTGAGTTCAAGTCTCGCATAGGCAAATTATTTTTTAATATTGTATTATACTTGTTATAAATACAATGCATTTTAAGCTGTTTCATCACATATAAAGTCATTTAGGAGTCATCTTCTCCAATCTAATAATAAATTAAATATTATTTTTATTAAATCTAGAGGACAAATGATAGTGCATATACTGATCATCACAATGCATGCACAATTTACAAAACGTATTGCATCTATATATGAGAATGATGCATAAACAAAAAACTCTCACACGAGAAAAACTTCCTTGATTCCATCTAAATAACTAAAATCATTGTCAAGTACACCACAATTGTGTGACTAATCATTAAAAACGTGAAAGAAAGTGATGAAAAATAAAAAATGGGGAATAATAGTATTTAAAAAAGTGGAAAAAATTGTAAACCACATACTATTTGTTTTAAAAAATGAAAATAAACAAATCTCTTGAACCACGAGAAATGCATTATCATTAATAAAAAAGAAATAAAATATTACAAAAAGTTTAATAGTAAAATTATTCATTAATGATTTATATAGAAGAAAACTGGTTTACAAATTAAAAAAAGAGAAAAAAAACATTAATACTCTGTATGACAATTTTTGCGTAATAATGAGGTGCATGATTTAAAAAAGAAAGAATTAATACGATAACTCTTAATACTCCTATAATAACGGCACAATAAGTGGAACTTATGGCCCACGATCATTTAGTGTTTATCAAATTTACACTAATGTCCCTATGCGCACGTTTCACTCCTAAATTGATGGACATGAGTTATTATTTACCATACTAACTAGTCAATGGCGCCACTTTTTAGATCTAATGTAGACCCTTAGATTTGTAATATCAATGGTTATTATTTATTCTCATTTCTCTCCACAAGACTCATTCTCACAGGAACCAGCCCATATATATATATATATATATATATATATATATATAGACATACATATATATATATACATAATTAAGGGCATTATTATGGGCATTAATCTCCCATCCGCATAATTAAGGGCATTATTGTATATTCAATTGAATTTGTTTCTCTCTCTCTCTCGTCTCTCTCCATAGTGCCCGCAAGATGAGCGTGAGATCTTCCTTCCCTATCTCACAACAGATCTGGAGTTTTCTCATATGAGTTCATCTCTCTTCACCGCAGTCAAGATTTATATTTCAAAGTAGGGATACCTTAGTTTTTCATCTTGAATTTTCTAAGCATCTCTGCCAGAAGCCGTTTTTCGCCTTAAATTTAGAGGTCGAATTCTTCTTGTTTTTTTTGTTCTTGGTGTTCATGTCTGATGAGAAGGTTCATCAATTTTAATAGTCATAATTAGCATGAGGTGCATGTTTTCTTTGTTTCCATCTCCAGATCTAAGTTTTTAATCCCTTTGTGTTCACTCTTTTGGCCGATTCTCAGAATTCGATTTTTAATTAATTGTATTTATAAATTGAATGATGAAAATTTTAATTTCATGTTTGCATTCACACATTCCGTATATCTGTTCTCTAATTTTCAACCCTTGATCATGTAGTTTCTTTATTTGCAGGTGTAATTTTTTACTTATGGTGCATTTTTCATATTTCACTCTGTTTGCAATGGTATGTGTACTATTATGCATTGTAATGCATTCTGTGATGTTCGCACTGCATACATCCACCGAATAAGATGATGGACACAAGTTTGTGTTCACTTTTAGGCACAAATTTTGTTCATTATGTGTTATAGGCCAACTCTCTCCACATTCCAGTTTTCTTTATTTCATTCACTTTTGGATTCTGAGAGTTTGATGTCTGGATTCACTAAGTTTGTAATTAGAAGGGCTACAAGATACAAATTTGATTTTGTATGTGTTTTAATACATTTATTAATATCTACTTTGTGATTTTCAACCATTGATTATACGATTTCATTATTTGTTGGTGAGGATTTTTCATTTTGTACAATTTAATTTTTTTTATATTTAAATCTAGGTGTAACAATATGTATAATTAAAAGCATTGTAATACATTTTATGTTCTTGGTACTGCATGCTTCCACCATCCAGGGTGCTGTTTCCAAGTTGTGTTCAGTGTAGGCATAATCTTGTGTTCCATTTTATGTGTGGGTTAGCTCTACTCTCCCCACACTTAAATTTTTGTTCTTGCACTTTCACTCCCTTATAAGATGTCATTTTTAATTATGATTTAACTCTGGCAATAAAATTATATCTATTTAAATGCACTGTAATGCCCTCTATGTTTTTTATACTGCCGGCAGCTGCATACAAGGATGTCTCTTAACATACTTGAAGATTCCTCGCAATTTTCATTACATTAGGTGGTACCCTATTCCACAATGTTGTCGATGGAATTTAACTTTACAACACTATGCGTGAGTAGATGGATCTGAGGGTTGGCATTTTTACGAGTACCACAAGTGCGTGCTTTGTAGAAATGATGACCAAAAACATATTGGAAAATTACCCCCAAAAGCCGCTATAGAGCAGAGGAAGAAGAACATTTAGGGATTTTGAGTTCCATAATAATAGGAACTCTTCTATGACCATTTTCAAATGTATGAGTAGTTTTTATCATTTCTAATTGTATTGATGCTTTTTGTTATTATTGTAAAAGATATTGTCATAAATTTTATTAATTATAGTCTTACTTCAAATAATGGTTATTATTTACTTGAATCATTTTATGCCCCGGCCCCTCGTGTCAACAATAATCTCATTATGTGTCAAGGATCAAAATGGATTCTTTATAACATATGCACTATGGGTACTCGAAAATGTACAATATTCTTAATCGAATGCATCATTACACATATACAGTACACTCTTAACTTAGGGTATAAAACATGAGCTAAAAACAACAATGCACACTCTAGTCTGTGCTTAAATGAAATTTTACATTGCAATTAAACCAAATCTAACATTCTAAATCTAAAAAAATAGACAGAATTAAAGGATTCTCTCTTGGATTTCCTCTTTTCTTCTTACCTTCTATACTCAGTGTAATCATCAATTTTCTTTTACACATTTGTTTTGAGTCCCTCCATGATAGTGCTACTCGTCACAGTTGTGCTTTCGTTCTCCATATTTGCTTTTGCACTGCACCCATGTGTTGCTCAATTTTGACCCTCTGCATTGCTAACAACAGTACATTTCAGCACTGACACTCTGCATTTCTAACAACTATATATCTCATTAATTTGTCATTTCATGATGCATTATAACAAGATATCATTTCGTAATGCATTTTTTACGACACCATGCAAATTTTCACCTAATGCCGCTACACACCATGAAACCCTAAGTGCACCATAGGGCGTGAAACAATCATTCTCGCACAGCCACATAAATCCCCAAATTCTAACATAATAAATAAAAATTCTTTAGTATATGAACCATACATTCAAGAATTTTTACATTTACATATATAACAAATCTAGTCAACATACCCAATGATGGTGCATCATCAACGCGTCTCTGTGTTTTCATCACCATCGCACTACACTTTGTAGCAAGTTTTGTTAATCTCCCATGATTATCTTTGATTTTTACATTCAAGAATTTTTACATTTACATATATAACAAATCAAGTCAAATACTCCGGGATAAATACTCCTGGAGTATTTGTCCACTTTTAATTTTTTTATCAAATTAGTAAACTTTGACTCCAAATCAAACAAAATAATATTATATATTCATACAGAAACAAAAGTTATCGAGAAAAGAGTAAAAGTAAAATTGTAATCAAATTTGGGAAGTGGGGGTATAAAATATTTTGAAATATTATTTTACCTAATTAATATACAATATACATTTTATTTAATTATTTACCAAAGATTGAAACGATTTAATAAAAGCTCACCAAAGTGTAAGGCAAAGCTCACCACATTTTTTCAACACTTTGAATTTTTTTCCAAAAAAAAATCAAAGGAAGGGTGTTGACTGGACTTTGACTGTTGACCGCCGCCTACCACTGGTCGCCGCCGCCGCCGCCCGTCGCCGGTCGCCGCCGCCGCCCGTCGCGGTGGCCGTCGCCGATCTACGGCAGCCACCGCCGGTCGCCGCTGCCGGACTCCGGCCGCCGCTGCTGCTCCGCCACTATTGACCGGTGTTGTTATTTTATTTTTAATTAATTTTTTAATTTTAAAATTAAAAAAAAAGTGTGTTTTGGGGTTCAAAGTGATGAGCTTTGCTTTATTTCCAGGTGAGCTTTGCTTTGTGCATTGGTGAGCTTTGCAGTGTAGTGTGGTGAGCTTTGCGTCATCTGACCGAAGCATGTCATCTCACCGTAAGGTGTCATCTCACTGGAGTCAATCCTATATATATATATATATATATACATATATATATATATATATATATATATATATATATATATATATATATATATATATATATATATATATATATATAGATTTTGGTTCTGGTGAGAATGCGATCTTAGGAGAGAAATGAGAATGAATCTGGTGCTTTAGATTGTGCGATCTAAGGGTCAAGATTGCATCAAAATTAGGTGCAACAAAATGGTTAAAAAATGCATCACGTTGAAATGCACCACAATCCTTTAAAAATGCACTATCTCAAAATCTGAGCGCAGGATGCAATCTCAGCCGCACGATGCATCAGATCCAACGGCTAGATTTCATTCTCATTTCTCTCCAAAAGGTGCATTCTCACAGTAACCGGCCCATATATATATATATATATATATATATATATATATATATATATATATATATATATATATATATATATATATATATATATATATATATTGGTGAAGAATTTTGGTTTAACTCAAAGATATTGTTCAGTTTAACATAAAATTATGTACTGCTTACCACTATTTTCGTGCAATAACGCTTAAAATATGTAGAATAAAATAAGAACAAAATGAACTTATCAAATTCCTCACGCTTAAACGTTGCTTGCCCTCAAGCAACAACTTCAGACCACCGAGAGCATGACATTCTATTATTATTGCTGAAAAGAGCTTTATTTGCATCATTATGAGGCCAATTCGACTAACATAATCATCCGACTTCGTTGAATAGCTAAGTTTTTAGAATTGTCTCTCATTTTCCCTGAAAATGTGCAAGTTTTTACCAAACATGTATTTTTACTTGATTAAATCAAATAGAAGTAGACCATTTACTGAAACGAATGCATTTCTTAAAAGGGTTATTAAGATCA